GTAAAAAAGAAAATTTTATTTATCAAGATAATTTTTAACTATTGCAATAATTTTTTTCTTAAAAAACTAAAATAATAATAATAAAAAGATCTAGTTTTTATATAATAAATATTTTAACTTATTTTCAATTTAATTTTATTTTAAATATTTTAGTCAACTTCAATGATTATTTTCTTCTCAAAAAGTTAAATTATTTAAAATATTTTTAGATTTCTCATAAATATTTTTGTTGTTTACCTAAAAACATGAAATAAATAAATTAAATTTTTAATTTTTTTAATTTTTAATTCTCATCAACTTCATAAATTTTTATATAATCTACTTAAATTATTTGGTCGCAGTCTTAATTTTTTCCAATTTTATTAATATAATAATTTAAAATTTTCAATATTTTATTTGGTATTCAAAATCATAAAATATACAGTTTAAATTTTTATTCTGGAATGTTATTCAACTACAATTATTATTTATAAAATATACTTATTTATTACTTGATCGCAGCCTTACTTTTCTTCTTATTTTATAGTTAAATTAATTTTAATTTTCTAATCAGTATTTTTGTTGTTTTTTAAAAATCATAAAATATAAAAATTACTTTTTTATTTTTAAATCTTACTCAACTTCTATAATAATTTATGGAATCACTTTATTTATAAATTGATCACATTTATAATTTTTCTATTTTTTAATTAGTTCATCCAACGAGTTGCTGTGCAACTTTTATCTTCTCTATTATTATTGAATCGCTGCGGAATTATTCACGGCGATATTAAGCCTGCAAATATTCTATATACTTCTGGTTATTTTTTTTTTGTTTCTTCGTCATTAAAAATTTAAAGAAAATTTTTCGTTAATAATAAGATTAAATCAAAATGATATATATGAAATTTTTTTTCAAAAGTTTGAAGTTTAGCAAATACATACTTTATGATTTAAATTTTATATAATAATTTCTTTTGTAGATAAATCAGAAAGCATAAAGCTTATAGATTTTAGCAACGCTGTTCCTTATAATAGTGAAAATCTTCACTCGCAATTCGGAAATGTGGAAATTCAAAGTCTTCCTTATAGAGCTCCAGAAGTAAATTAATTTAGTTATTTAAATTTTTTTTAAAAAATTTTTTTTTAATCCAAATTTTTAAATTTGTTAACAAAAAAGGTCGTCTACCGCATTCCTTTTGATATGAAAATTGACACGTGGTCTTTAGGATGCGTTCTTGCTGAATTGTTTATCGGTATTGTTTTTCTGCGCTCAAGATTATATTTTAGAATTCGGTAGGAAAAAAAAATTAAAAGATAATTTTTTTTTGGAAATTTACTTAAAAAATCATTGTGGTATTCAATTATATTAAGGAAAAGTTTTATTTCCCGCTAAAGATGAAAAGGAATTAATGATGTTGATAGAAAATTTGGTAGGCAGGTTATAAATTAGTTTTCAAATTTTTTTTTCAAGTTTTAATAATTGTTATTATTTAATTTTAAAATTTTTTTTTATTTAATAATTTTAATATTATTTAAGGCCAACAAAAACTTTTGCTGCTTCTATTTTATATAATGAAAATAAAGTGACTCAAAATTCTTCACGGTTGCTTATATCTATATATAAATTTAATTAAAATAATTAAATTATATTAAAATATTAAAAGCAGATCACTTTTTTTTATAGATCCGCGCGATTAGGGAAGTTGGCAGAAACTTTAAAGACAACTGATTTTCAATTTGTGTCTTTTTTGGTAAAACTTTATGTTTTTAAATACTTTTGAGCACTACTTTTGTGTTTATATTTAACAAATTTATATTATTTTTTTTAATTTTAAATAATACTTACTCGCTTTTTAAAATTCTATATTTAAAAAAAAAATTATTTCTACAAGTTTTTTAAAAAAAATTTAAAGAAACGCAAAAAATATTATAAGTCAGGATCTTATTTAATAAATTTTCTACATTACACAAAACTTATAAAAATTCAGCAGATTACTTAAATAAAATGAAATTTTTTTTTCACTGCTCGAGTTGTGTGCTCCACGGGCTAATTCTATTTAGAATTTTATTATAAAGGAAATTGATTAAGTATTTAATTTAATTTATTATAGTTAAAGAAGGTCTCCCACTAGTATAAGTTATAATACTTTATAGTTAAATGTAGAAGTTTCCATTTCATTTACATTTTTAAACGAGAACTTTACGGAATTGACATTAAAGTCAAATTTTAAAATTTTTAAATTCCCGTTTTAAAATTAACTTCACAATAAAATAAATTCTAAACAATGAAAGTTTAGGAAGAGCTTAATATAAATTATTAAAACTAGAATAACACAAAAATGATATTTAAATAAAATTTTAAATTATTAAATCGTTTATAAATTTACTCCACTCTTATAATAAATTTAAGAAAGAAAAGTTTAGGTGAAGTTTAATGTAAATCAATAAATACTGGAAGTACACAATTAAATTTAATTTAGAATTATAATAAACAAAATCTCGCTTAAAAATTAACTCCATTTTTATAATAAAGTTAAAAAAATTTTTTAGGAGCTTTATATGTACTATTACAAACTAGAATAATACAGTTGCTTTCCATTTTTAATTTTTAAAGTAAATAATTTTTTATTAAATAATTAACCTCAGTCATAACGAATTAAAAAAATTAAATTTTAAAAAAGCTCACTTTAAACTATTAAAAATGTAAATAAAACATAATTGAAATTCATCTCGAAGTTGGGAATTATAAATTCTCACTTAAAACTTAACTGTAGTCTTAAATTAAAAAATTTAAAAGTTCAAAAAGAGCTTAATATGAACAAACGCTTAAACGCTTTGGAAAGTTTCAAAGTAATTTTCATTTTTGAGCTAACTAATAAATAAAGTACATTAATTATATAATTTTAGCAAAGGTTTTAAAATTTAATCGATGATAGATTTCTTATGAATAAGTTAAAAAAAAGGTTATAGTATTTTCTATATAGTCGTACACCTTTAATAAGGTTTAACATAGACTCTGGATTCCAAAATGTGGAATTAATGCTTTCAATATTCAGTTTTCAATTTGATAATTTTTATTACTTCAACATATATACATAAACTTCACTACTTTTATATACAACTTCTTGTTGACTCAGTCAGTAAAGATAATTGTTTTTTATCTAAATAATTTATGAACAATGAAAAATTAGAATTAATTTAAATTAGTTTACACCCACTTTCCCCATCTTTTGTATAGCATTAAAGTCTTACTCAATATTGATTAATTATTAACCATTGCAGGAAGCTAAACGCTTCCTTATATATTTGCTAAGTATTAAAAATTCAAACTTAGAAGTTTTAAAGAGTAATAAAAAAATAATATTATACTCGATACTTTTTAGCAAATGCTTAGCGTTAAGTTGTAAAAGGTCGCTTAAGCGCTATAAACTTTTTTATTAGGCTTTACTTTTTAAATTTTTTAATTTATAATCTTCAAAATGCTTAACAGGATCGAAATTTTTGCAGACTATTTTACTAAAAGCAAAAATTTCTTTTTATTGTTTTATTACCTACAATCACTATGTAAAAGTGTTACGTTACTTCTAAAGAGAAGGCAAGTGTAGGGAAGTAAAGGAGGAGAGCGCAATCTTATTTATTATACCGTTTAATAGTTTTTTTACTTTATAAATTTTAAATCCAAAGTAAGATTTTAAAAGAGTGCTATTTCTCGTGTAAAACTAATTGTTCAAGTTACTTCCCAATTTAAAAACGATCGATGTAAAAGCTTTAAGAAATTATAATTTAAAAAATTTTTGTCTAGGATTGTCCGTGGTCTAAAAAGAAACTTTATATATACAATGCTTTACTAGCAATTGCTTAAAAATTAAATAATTTTATCTTTTTTAAAAAAATTTGTTTACTACAAGTTTGGAGGCTTGCAAAACTGATCCTAAAATTTTACTTAAATTTATTTTGTTCGCAAATTATTATAAAAGCTCAAAGTTATACTCTATGCACTGGTTAATTAATTGCAAAGAAAATTTTTGCAAGCTAAGCGAGCAGTACAGATTAAGACAAAAATAAGATTTAAGCTTAATCTCGTTCAGGCTTTTAACTATTATAGAGTTAAAAGCTTAACAGCTTACAAAGTTGGTTTTTAAAAATTTATACTACCGCAATTTAGTAAGCAAAAATAAGTGTTATAGCTTATTGCAGATTTAATAAATTGCACAGAGAGTGCTCGCAGGCTAAACAAGCAGTACAGCTTAAAAAAAAATACATTCAAGTATTAATCTTGAAAAAGCTATTGTAATTGAGCTAAAACTTAGAAGCTTAGAAAGTTGGTCCTTGAAAATTACTACTGCAATTAATTATTATATTAAATTTGGCGTTATACTTTATTGCAGAGTTAATTAATCGCAGAGAATGCTCGCATGCTAAGCAAGTTGTACAACTTAAAAAAAATTTGGATTTCAGCATTAATTTCGTTCCAGCTATTAATTAAAATGAGTTAAAAGCTTAACAGCTTACGTAATTGGCTCTTGAAATTTACTTCAACAATTCGGCTAATTTATATTTACTAAATTTTATATATATATATATTACTGCAATGAAAAATTATTTGAACAATGCTTGCGTGCTTTAGGAGCAGTGCAGCTTTTTAAAAAAAAAAATTTAAAATAATTGCAGAACTAATTTATTTTTTATAATTAAGCTAACGCTTTTAGATTATGATCCACATACGCGTGCAAGCCCGATTGAATCTTTAAAACATCCTTTTATTTCTACTTTATTTCCGTTTCCAATAATATTTGATGCCATAGAAGAGTAATACTTTTCATCTTCTGATATAATTGGAATCTACAATCTAAATTTCTTTTATTTCTATAAAGCAGTATTAAAAGTCGAAAATAAAGATAAATGTGCTGCAAAACAGTGAAGTCAAGGCAAAAAAAAACTTCTCCAGAAAGTCAATATCAAATGTTCTTTATTATTAAAAAAAAAGCTTAACTTTAAAAAATTTATTTAATAAGTCTGTTGCAAGTAAAATATTTAAAAAGCTTTTGAAATAAAAGAAACTTTAAGGATGCCCAAAGGAACCAAGACTAATTTAAACCCCTATCACTGAAATTTCTATAAATTTAGTAATTTATCAAATTTAAAAAGTCAATAAAGTAATAAAATAAAAAATTTTTTCTTTTGAACCTTTTTATCTAAAAAAACGTACCACAAAAAGTTTATATATTGTTGGTAAGGCGCTTCCGAGTAAAACAATGGTAAGTAAACAGACTACCAAAGTTTTATACGTCACCTGAATTAAAAAAGTTACAAACGAAAAATTAAAAAAAAAAGTTAATACCCAGGGCCTTCTTTTTTTGGACTTAGTTGCTGTACTAAATCCCCCCTTTTTGTTAATTTTAGATGAGTACTTATTAGAAGCTGCTCGCATCTGCGGTGTTTTTGCCATTATAACTTTTTAAATTGAAGAGCGTACTAAAAATTAAAAAATTATATATGTATAAGAGAAAATATAAATAAAAAATAAAAGAAGAAGAAAAAATCTAAAAGACATTAATTAGGCCGTAAGAACAAAAAAAAAACGCCAACAAAGCGAAAGTGCAAATTTAGAATTAAAAAAAATTTTGCAGCTTTTAATCATAACAAACTTCTATAAACCTCGAGGGAAAGTAGAAAAGCGTTTTTAGTAGTTTTTTAGTTTTCTTTATTTTATAAAATATTTTTACTTGTCTAGCTATGGAGAAAATAATTAAAATTTTGGTTTTTCTTCAAGTTAATATCATTTTTAAGGTTATTAGTACACAGACGATTTGTATATCGTAGCTCAATATTATTAATTAGTGACTTTTTAATTTTTTTAACTTTAAAGCTCGTCTAGATATCTTTGCAATACACAATGAAGAGAGAATAAGATTTTGTGTCATTCTATTTTTATATAAAATTTCATCAGCTCTATAATCCTTTTACTTAAAAAATTTCAAGTTTTACCCTTAATTACTTCAAGGGTGTCTTCTTTGCCCTTCTTTTTTGTCAGCTTTATAGATGTAGAGTAGCATTGCCATGTAAATACTTTAATAAGTTAAACGTAAAATATAATACTTTGTGCATCAAAAATCAAAAAAATAAGAAAACCGGAATTTTTATTATTGAAATTAGAAAATTGTTTACTATGTACACATTAAAAGAAAAAAAGTTAACTTGTCTCTTTAGGCTAAATTATTTTCTTTTAATTTTTCAAGCGTGGAAGTTACTTTAAAATTGCTTCTATTTACAAATTACCTAAATTAATGTATAACGAACTGGAAACTATTATAACAGAGCAAAAAAATGTCCAATCACCTTCCCTTAAGTTTATTTTATTTGTTGTAACTAACTCATATTAATCCTTTTGTTTTTTTTTACTTTAATTAATAAATAATAAATGCAAAATAAATATTGAGATAATTTGGAATGAAACTAAAATTTTCTATCTTTTCTGGATTTTTTATATATATTTTAAATTAATGGTGTCTTATCTTGCAGTTATCCTGACAGAACGTAAGATTTACGTCTCGCAAACACTAAATAATTTAACATACTAGCATTCCAAAAACAGGAAGATTTATAACAACTTGGTCTTTTTTCCTTATTTTTTAAAATTTATTAATAATCCACAACTCGTCCAATTGCTTCGTTTCTTCACCGCCCTCCTACCTTTTTCAGGCGTTCCAGTGTTCATATAAAACAACTTTTTACGTTTAATTATGATAATTACTTTATTAAATTGCTTGTTACTATACTTTCTTATATTTTTTACTAATAATATAGCAATTCACTGTTATTTTAGTAATTTATTCTCTACTGTTTTAAAATAAGTTATAAAGTAAAACTTAAAAAGTATATACTTTATTCATGAAATTTTACAAGCCGGAAGCCCTCAAAAATAAAAATATAAAACAATACGTTATATAACATATCAATTAGATATATTACAGACTTTAACTATTGTAATTATGAAGTCGAAGAACTAAAATCACCGTAGATATTTATTCGATAACACTGGGCTTTCTAGGAGGATCACCCGACCTAACAGAAAACGGGAACAAGAGAAAAGATAGCCGAGCATGCATGGGCCATATTTATGTATGCGCATGCAGCCCTCTATTCCTCTTCCTCTCCAATTGTAAACAGACTAAAAAGGATAACCAATTTTTATTTTTTTAGCACTGGCATACTACGGTCGGGTTTCTTAAAATGTTAAGCCGCAGAATCTGAAGTCCCCACTTCTGCAGGGGTGAGGACTCGAGCGTCCACTAGTGTACGCTCTTTATAGAGCTAACATAATTGTCCCGAAGGACTGAAAAAGCGGAAAATATCGGGCACGGACTCCCGCCGTTTTATTAGAATTTGAGGGCGAGCTTAAACAAGCGACCATCTAAGCCCGAAAAAGAGAGACGCGGGTGAGAATCGAATCCACGATCTTGCGCGTAATGCTTTTAACCACTGAGCAACGCCGACAACTCTCAACCTCAGTATGGTGGTTTTACGTATTTAACCTGTTACATTTGGTCTAGTGCGCAGAAAACTGTTAAAAACCACCACTGAGAGACCTTGAATACAAGACCAGGCTTTCTGGAGACCGGCCAGCACCACTGCCACTCAGCCTTCCCGACTTTGAGCTCCTCACCAGAGGGGGGAGCTCCTTTTAGGGATAACCAATTTATAAAATTGGTGTTAACGAATAGCATAATTGTAATAAACGAGTGAATACATTTTTAAACTCCTTAACGAGATAGATAAGAATAAAAAAATGCATTAGTTTGTAAATTTAAGTACAACTTAAACATAAAAACAAATTTTACAGTATTTTAAATTAAAAAAAAGTTTATGGCCGACATAATGAAAACACTATTAATAAAATAGTTCTACTTAAGTCACTTAGGAAAATTTGCTTAGTAAGTTAAGTGCATCGTTTTTATAAAATTGTAAATCCGCTTAAAGCGCTAGTAAAAAAATTTTCAGTTCTTTCAAGCCCAAAAATTTTGTTTCTTGTTATTAAAATATTTTTCGCTACTATCTTTAAATATTTCACGATAAAAAAATTATAAATAAATTAATAAATTCTCTTATATTTAAATTTTTTATTGTTTATGAATTAAAAAAATTTATAAATTTTTGTTATTCTTTATTTTTACTTGCTAAATTTGTAACCCTAAGATTAATGCTTTTACAGCCAAACTAGCGCTAACTTATTTGTTTTTACAATCGTAAATTTCCTTTAACTCTATTAAAACATTCTTTTTTTACAATTTTTATTGCCTTCATAAAATTTTACAAATTAAAATCCAAAATAATATTATCTTTTTAAGTAAATTTAAAACAAGTTTTACTCACAAGTTAATGAAATAATTAAAATTAATAGAGATCCGCAAACCACGCATTTATAAATATTCACTAAAACTTTAAAATGAGGCTCTGAAACTAAAACAAATATACATATATATATAAAAAATATTCTGTAAAAGTGAAGTAAAGCGCAACCATTTTCTGAAGTACAAAATCTATTTTCAATTCTATATTAAAAACCTTATAATTTTCGCTTAATTTTTCAAAAGATTCTAATAATTGGTAATTATTTCGTTATTAATGCTTCAATTAATTTACTTTGGAGTTGAAATGATTAAATAACGAATTAATATTAATATATAAAAAAGGTAAAAATATATTTTTTTATTAAATTAAAGTGCGAAGAGAATTCGCAATCTCTTTTATTCGAGTAGCGATGGACATGTCCAATCGTTTATCAGACATTTCTACTATAAGGCCTCCAATAATATCGCTGTTAATCTGATGATGATGATGATGCTGATAATAATAATAATAATAACATATAAAAACTTACTACTGTCTGTAAAATTAACTTTTCTCCTGATTTTAAGTTTTTTTTTAAATTTTCTGTTAACTTTTTTTTATCCTTTTCATTTAGTGGCTTTTTACGTATAAAAAATAAAAAGTTTATTATTATTATAATTAATATAAATATTTTTATTATATTTAGTATAGTAACAGTTTTACAAAAACAAAAAAATAATAAATTAGATTTTAACATAAATAATTAATATTCATTTAAAAGCGGATTAAAGCAAAAAGAAAAAAAATAACAAGAAATTTTATTAATGAAAATTTTATAAAATATTAAAAAAAATTATAAGTTCCATGATTTACTTTTACCATTGACAAATGAAATTATTAATTAATATATATAATATATTTATATATCATATACAATTTTTCATGTCTACTAGAATATTTATTATAATAATTATTACCTAAAAAAATAACATTCAATGTAACGTATTATAACAAAAACCAGACCAAAAGAACGATATATATTTTCTATATAATAATTAAAATAAATTTGTTATAAAAATATTTTTGTCAAAAATTATTCACTATAACTCGAAAAATTCAAAAACAGTAACGGAAGAATTAGAAGTCCGTACAGATTTATAAATATTTTAATTGGCCCTTACAATAAAGCAAAGTTAAATTTAGTAATTGCCTTATTATTTAAAATAGGGCCTTAATATTTAAAAAAGTGGATCCCAATAGAAAAAATTTTCTAATATTAAAAAAGTTTTATTAATATTATTAATTGAAATAAATAAGTAGAAAGTTTTTATATACTTTCAACTTGTAACAACAGAATCACACGTGATTTTATAATTCATTTGGATAATGAAAAATGCTTAAAATTTTTCCTTTTAATAAAAATTGACGTGCATGCTTATCAATTTTTTAATATCACAACATATAATATATTTATATATAAAAATAATACTATAATTGTTAAACAATATTTATAAACATTTAAAGTAAAATATAAAGTTTTTTCCTAAAAAGGTACTAACCTGCAACTCATATTTATTAAAACATAACCAGAATAATAAACTTTTGTAAAAAGTGAACTAATTTATATATATAAAAAACCGATGCAGTAGTGACAGTGCACATAACTTCCTTACGATGAGCACTCATGATTCGTGAAAAGCTTTTCATAATCGATTCTAATTCGCTTAGCCGATTATTTTCAACCAAAAGTTCTGAAAATATTAATGAAAATTTTTCGTTTGTGCATCGTTTTTTCTTAATTTTTTAAAAGATATTTACTATAATTATTCTTTATTATATAGTTTAGCCGATTGCAGTTGAGTAATTATGTACTAAAAATACCGAAAAGAATATAACTTACTAATAAAAATTAAAAGATTAAAAACTTAACCAACCGAATTTCAAATAAATATGTACAAAAAACTCCAATCACGTTACATATGAATATGTAATAATGGAAAATAAAAGATAACATAACAAACTTCTTAAGAAAAAGTTGAAGTAGCCAATTACGTTTTATATAAATGTACTAATTAATCCAGAAAAGAATATAGTTTAGCCCATTACATTGCATATTAATATGTACCAATAAAAATTGAAGGATAAAGAAATAGCCAGTTGCATAAAAAAAGGTGAAGTAGCCAATTGCATTTCATGGAAATATACTAAAAAATCCGGGGAGAAATATAATGTGCCCATTACATTACACAAATATATGTGCTAATAAAAACTGAAAGATTAAAAAAATAATTAATTCCACAATAAATAGCGAAGTAGCCAATTGCAATTTATATAAATATGCACTAAAAAGATCGGAAGGCATAATTAAACCAATGACGTCCCATAAAAATCGCTTGATAAAAAAGGGCCAAGTAGCCAATTAAATTTTAATACAATATTCACAATTATAGTAAACTTCTCACAATTAGATATTAGGCAGTAGCCTCTCATAAATAAGCAAATAGAGTTATAAGACTTCAATATGTATTCCGCCGACTTTTACAAAAAAAAAGAACATTAGCCAATTGCATTACGAGAAAAACCAAGTTATATTATCATATCGATGTTTAACCAATGGAAACTCGTTAAAACTAAAAAACTAATAAACTGACCAATGATCTCACAAAGTAACTTTTTTTTTTTATAAACAAACAAAAATTTATTTATATATTAAAATATTTTATTTTGGTTGCAAAAAAAAATTGTAAATTTACAAAAAACATTAAGTACAAAATAGTTCTATTATTTTAAAACAAAAAATATTTTTTTACTTTTTTTTAATTTTCATTAATAATATATTTTAGATTAAAAAATTATAGAGAAATTTTACTAACAAAGTTACCAAAAAATTATATTAAAAAAAATTTCAGACAAAACTAAAATTAAAATTTCATGAAAAAATATCTCAATTAAAATATATATTTAAAAAAAAATTATATTCGTAAACTTTAAAAACTTAAAAAGAATAATTATTATAAAAAATTATATAATAAATTATTAATGGTGAAAACTTTTATATAAACTTTTCTTAAATAATGATTATTAAAATAATCTCGTAAACTTTAAAAATATATAAAATAATTAATGGAAAAACCTTTTAAATAAACTTATCTTATAAAGGTAATCATAAAATAAAGCTCATAAATTTTAAAAACTTTAAGAAGTTTAATAACGAAAAACATAATAATTCATAAAAAAAATTAATATTGACTTAAAAAAATAAATATAAAAATAAAATTCATAAATTTTAAAAACTTTAAAAAGAAAAATTAATAAAGTTATAAAAAATTAATTCATGGAAAAACTTTTATATAAACTTTTTCTTATATACAATCATAAGAATAAATTTCGTTAACTTTAAAATTTTAAAAAGTAAAATAAATTAAAAAAAAAAAAGTATATTGGACGGAAAAACTTTTTCACAAACTTTTCTTAAAAATTAAGCTTAAACACTAAATTCATAAACTATAAAATATTTTATAAATTTTTTATAGAAAAAAAATCTTGGAAATAGAATTCTTAAATCTTAAAAACTTAAAAATGAAAAAGAAATTAAAATAATATAAAGGACGGGAAAAACTTTTGAATAACCTTATTTAAAAAAATAAGAATAAAGAAATAAATTCGTAAATTTTAAAAAAGAAAAAGCGACATAGAAAAGTTTTCTGCGCAACTACTATAACAAATACTTAAAATTATCACTTCAAAAAGTCGAATATAGATTTTTCACACAGTTGACTTTTTTTATAATTTTTTAAGTAAATGTTACATTAGAGAAGTAGGAAGTTAAAAACTTTAATTTAACCCACCAAAAACTTTACTTTTACTACTTTTATAAAATTATTATTAAAATCAAATAAATTTATTATAATAATTAAGAAATATTAATATAAAAATTAAAAATAAATTCAAAATATATAACTAAAAAATTATTATAAATTGTTATAAAAGTATAAAATAAATTAAAATGCTTAAAAATTAAAATAATAATTAATTTCAATTTGTATAAATATAGCAAGTATAAAAATAAAAAAATAAAAAAAAAATAATTTTATAGCGAATTTAATATAATTTAGTGTATTTTAAGAAATTAAAAAGAATTACATAAAATTACGCAATAAATCTACAAGATTTACTTTAAATTTAAGGTTATTATTTACTTACAAAAATCTATAATACATTTGTAAAAAGTAACATAAATACGAAAATTCTTAGCGAATTTTTTTACTTTGCAAAAGATTTACGCTATAAAAGAAAATTTTGTAAATTATAAAATTTTAAAAATTGTGCTTTAGAATAAAAAAATGTCTAGAAGAGTAAAAGTAAAAATGTCTAGAATTATAAAAGAGTAAAAGTTTAATAAATTTAATTTGTAAATAAAAATTAAATAAAAACAAAAAAAATAAAAACCATCACGAATTAAAAAAGAAATTCCAAATGATTTAAATTAAAAAATAAAGAAAAAATTAAATTTATTGTTTCAAGAATTAATCTAATTATTATAAAAAATTAATTTAATATTATAAATATTATTTTTACTTCTAACACAAAGCAATTGTCTAAGTAAATCTAAATAAAAATTTTAAAAAATTTAAGGCTAATTTTAATTTAAAAAAAAAGGAAATCGTTAAGAATACCGAAAAGATTGCAAATCAACTTGTCGAATTTTCCTTTTTCTAAAATTTTTCGAAGTATAATAGTTTTATCATCTTTTTTAAAACTTTTATCATCTAAAATATATAAACTTATAAATAACACACTAAAATATTGAGGATTTCATGTGTTATAAATTTTTTTAATTAGTTGAAACTATATAAAGCAGAAAATATTATTTAGTTACCCTAATTTTGTAAAAGTCATAAATTAATATTTTTATAAAGTATAATAGTTAACTTAGTAAATATATTTCATAAATTTGGTAATTTAGTTTATAAGCTGCAATAAGAATAGTGCTTTATACTAATAATAATTTTAATTTGAGGGACTTCTGCCATTAAAAGGTTTATTTCTTCAAAATCTTTTTCAAGAATCTCGAGATTCTTTTTTTTGTAACCAGCAGAGTAAAGAGCTTGAGCGTAACGTCCGCTAATCCCTGGGACGGACAGCGGAGACTTTATTAATCCTTTAACTTCATTTCCACTCGCTTTTAGTAAAATTTGCAAGAAAAAAAGAAATTAACGACAGAATATGAAAAATATTATTATAAAGATATATATATATATATATATATATATATATTTAATTCACACGTAATTAAAAATAAAAATGATTTGTTGCTATAAAGAAAAATAAAAATTTTTTTTATAAAAAAAATTGTTTATACATGTGTTATTTAAAAGAAAGTCGAAAATTAATACTATCCTGCTGTAACATAATTAGTATTGTATATAAACTAACAAAATAAAATTTTCAGGTTTGTAAAAATCCATAAGAGATTAAAAAAAAACAAAAATTTTATGAAAAATAAAAGATTAAAAATTAAAACCAGTTATGTAAGATCGGCAGGTATTACAAATACGCGGTAGCATAATTAACTAAAACAAAGCACAGATAAAAAAACCCCGACCCTTAAAAAGTAAACAATGTTGATGGTTTCGACGTCACCAGGCGTACCAAATTCAACCGAACTGGAAAAGTTTTTTAAAAATTCCTTAATAAAGCATTTTTGTTTTTAACAAACATAATAAATTTATTATTTAGCTAATATTAAATTTAAAATTTTACATAATAAAATAACAGAATCCACCGTTTAAAAAAAAAATTAGATTGACAAATGTGTCAAATATTCCTAACAATACCACAGTTTTTAAGTTTTTTTTTAAGTTTTTCCTCAAGCTCGTCACGAGTCATATCAATTATTATTAATTCCACCGTCGACTTCTTTACCCAATTATACTTTTTCATCAGTGCATCTCATTGTTTATCTATAATTTAGTACTGGTTTATTAAAAGGTTAAAAAGTTTTCTTTGAATAAAAGAAATACGGCACTAATCAGAAATAACTTTATGATAGTACTTGCTTACATGTTTATTTAATGATTGCCGTAGAGAAGTGATTCAGCTGGAAGAAACTAACATGTCTTAACCTGAATATAGAAATCTTTTTACCATTGTATAAACTGTCATGTCTTGTATAGAGTTTTCACTGACTTGAATTAATAAATAATAAAACTAGCGTTTATGCATCTCTTTATTTAATTATTTTGTTAATGCAAATACTTAGCTCGTCTTTCCATTCATTAGAGACTTTTACTATACAAATAATTTTACATAAAAATCTTTTAAATTTTACTAGTAGCTTGTGGTTTCAATGCTTTTCACCTGCAAAGGGTTGGTATATCTATTTCTTTGACAGCTTACAATAATTCTAAATCTTTCTAAAATTGCTTAGTTGTTATGTATAATAAATAAAGATTAACATTTGCGGTTTAGGGCGTCTTTGGTAAACTAAGCGGTCGCAACTTTTACTCTAAACTCCCAAAGCTGCGCTAAGTGTGTGAAAAGTACTGTATATCATTAATTTATAGCTACCACACATTATATTTATAAGCTTTAACTTTCTTATTATAAAGAAGGATACAAAATAATTACTGTAATTTTTATATTGATAATTATATAAAAATCAAGTTAACTTATACATTATTACCTACTTGAAACAATAGTCACCTGCACATGTAGAGTAGACAAGCATTAAACACTAAGAGGGAGAAAATTCTTTAACTAGTTCTTTATTTTATTTCATAATTTTTTTTATATTAATGAACATTTGTTTAAGAAAGACTTTCTCTTATGAATTAAAAGAGGATCAGTTACTCTATATTTTTCAGTATAGTTTATAAGACCTAATATAAAAAAAATTAGGTTCTAAAAATCTGTTTTTAAAAAATATTAACCTTGCTGTATATCTGATACTTTCATGTATGCAGTGTTTAATTCTTTTTTTAACCTACAAAAATTTTATTATATCGAAGCGTACGTATGTAAAAAATCAGGGGTTTTTTATAAGTAAACAAAGGATTTGGTGAATAACTTCTTTCGGTTAACCTGTTACATTCCTCTTCAAGCTTTATATAATTAGAATCATTTGCAGTTATATTATCTTCGAAACAAGCTTGAATTTCTTAATAAATTAAAGATAATAAATTGTTGAAATGTTTACTAACAATATAGAATAATGTAATTTATACTACACTTGTACCGTAATTAGTTGGTGGGTTCATCACTTTTATAGCGGTAAAGTTTTTAATAAGCTTTTTTTTTTTAAATATTTCTAGTTTATTTTCTCATCATTAACTGTTTGAGAAAAATTATAGAATGAAGAAACCTGTGTTATTACTTTTTTAGGTATTTTTTTTAACCTCCTTACGCCCTCTACCTACCTACTGGGCAAACTACAGGAGTATGAACATGTACCATATATAGAAACGAAAAGTTGGTAATCTTATTACGTAATTAATAAAGTTTTACATACCATTTACCTGGTAAAACAAGTTACTTCAATCATCCTTTCAACAGAATATCTTTTATTTTTAATAAAATTTTATCACAAAGGTTCTAAATGGTAATAATAAACGGTGCTAAAAATAGACCCAGAAATTTCTCATTGTGAATTCATAGTAATTTTAGGTAAGATCTAGTAGTTAAGCGGATGTTTTATAATATTCGTAGTTTCTTAATATTATCGTATATTTTTATTCTTAATTTAGGTAAGTAACTCTATAAACTTTTGTGCTAAAAAAAGGGAAACGGTTGACAACTGCATAGGGAACTAGTACTGTCCTTCTATATAAAATTGATGTGAACCCCAAGACTGAGCTACTAGTTTAATATCTAATATCTCTGAAAGTTATATATTATCTATATGAATTGAGGCTATATAATAATGAAGTCCCCAGAGGGAACATAATTCATACCTTTACTTTTAATTTTTACATTTGCTTGGTAGATCAAGAAAAATGGTCGCCTTCATACCTCCTAAAGGCGTACCATTACTGTATCAAAGGATCGAGGAAAATAGCAGGGGCATATTAGCCCCGTATATCCGTCACTCGGCTAAGAGTGGGATTCTAAAACTAAAATTAGACATCAAACAAACATTGCGGCGAGTCAGGTCTTTTTGCTTTGAAAGTCTACGAAAATTTACTTTCAAAAGCATCTTTTTAGTTTTAATCACCTATCTGCAAAGTCTATGTATTTATTCATAACGATGTATTGTTGTTTAATTTACTCTTCTGTAAATTCATATTTACCATAACTATCGGAAAAATTTCTCGGACTTAAGTTTGTTAAAGAAGATGCACTTCTTTTAACCGAGATCAAACTTGACTGCTTGGTCCTAGAGGCAAAAAGGGCTGGGCCCAATGGCCCTTTTATAAAAAGTTCTTGTTAAATGTGGTATCATATATATAGTCTTTTTTAGCAGATATAATGCATAAAAATAGTGTGTTGTATAAAACCAGGATTTATGTGCATGTGCTGAGAGAGGGCATGCATGGTAATCTATAGATGCTTACATTTAATATTATTTAACTTTTAATTATTACAGACACTCATATATAGATGTAGACAAGGAAAACATCTTTATTTTTCTAAGAGCAAGATAATAACCCAGCAAAAATTATATGTATATTCGTTAGGGCATAATAAAAGCTACATAATGAAACTAATCTAAAATTTTAAGCTGTTTAGTGAGCGGAAAGAATAGCCATTAGGAGTAGTTGTATAAAATGTAACCAAGTTAAAAGCCAGAAAAATGAAAGTCAGAATTCAGCTCCGCGATATCGATAATAAACCTATATGCAACCCACCTCACTACCCTCGATTTGTGTTTTGAATCCCACGTCTTCAGGACGTGTATTGAAGTCGGAGGACCCCAGTTTTGAGGAATAGGCAACAAATATTTAAAATGGGTTAGAGAATGATTATAGTGGTGGTGAAGAAAACATTATTCTGGGCTTCGTCGGTGACCATAGAAATGATTTCTCCATTTACATTACCTTTTATGTTTGTAGGCGCTAGTTGTTAATTTCTGGGTCTCGCCCATAAACTTTCTTAATAACGCAGTCACATAATAAAAAGTACAAAATAAAAATTTCCGCCAAAAACAAATTTCTATAGAAAACCACAGAATGGTTTACAATTAGTATACATAATTTTTTAAAACTAGTATTAGTTTTGTGGGATTCTGTCTCTTTTTTTCAAGCTTTTTAGAATTTAATTTGTGAAGAAAAATTAAAAAATAAATGAGTTTTTAAAGAACATTGAGAGAGTATCCGGGCAGACAGACAGACAAAAGTTAAAAAATTATTCATAAAAATGTAATAATATCATAAACACTCTGTTTCGTTATATATATATAAATAATATAAATACAGGCAGCTGCACATTAAATAAATAGGCTGTTGCAACTTTCTCAAACTTGACTAATTAAATTTAACTAAACAGATCAAGTACTAGCATCGAAGCTTAGAGTTTTGGATAACATAACTAGTCTGAGGGCTTATTGGAGAAATCCCTGGTGATTTATACTAGTGTTGCCTGTCGCAACGTGACCTTAGACACCCAGGACTGCATAAGCAAATCTTAATTTACTTAAAATTTATGTATCAAAAAGTTAGTGTTTTCGAAAGTAAAATTCTTTCAGAGTAACTAACTACTAATGCCATATTTAAAAAAAATAGGTTTAGTTAACAAAAAGAAAGGAAAATTTATATTACTTAAATCATTTTTATTAATAGTTTGAACTTCGCTTTTAAATTTTTTTATAAGCGAGTTTTTTTGAACTATTTTTACAATCTACTTAATACACTTCTTGCTTTTTTGGACAAACCATCCTTCACTTCTTCAACTTCATCTGGTATTTTAACTTTTGCGTTAACCTCAGCAGCTACTCTGCAAGCTGCTACATCTTGTGCATTTCCCTGTAAACATTCTTTGGCATCTGTAATTGGAGCAGAAAAAGGTTCGGTTATTTTCGCATCCAACGAAAACACAGAAACAAGAGCGGACCAGAAAAATATCCAAAGGAACAGTGATTGAGCTTTCTTCGCCATGTTTAAACTCTACAATTACAATAAATTTTAGTTCTCAGAAGCTTCATATACGTTTATACTCGTGAGATGACGTTATAATTTTAATAGATAATTTCATTATATAAAAAGCTTAACTGGAAGATATATTTTGTGGTGACGAAAATTCTGTAGTTAGTGTTGTCTTATTACCAAATTTAGTTTATTAGTTATTACGTATTGTTCTTTGGGTGCATAAACGATACAAACTCTTGCTAAGTCATTTAAGTATTATCCTTTAACAGTATTTGCTTGTATTAATAAAATTAAAAAAAAGGATAATAAAAGAAAGCGAATTTACTGCCGTGCTTCCAGGTTCTGAGAAAAAATCTTGGCTCGTATATAGTTATTTTTTATTTACTTAAAGCTTAAGAATACACAGACTGAAAATAATAATGACGTAAGGACTATTATGAATTTTGTAAAAAAAAATATCTGTTGAAGGTAATAAAAGTTTGTTATAATTTATTTTTAATTAAAATTCTTAATTATAGGAGATTTTCTTGAGTAAATTATATACATATATATATATATATATAACAGATATATAACATTTTTTCCAAGCAGGGGGCAGTTAAGTTAGTAAATAGTTTAAATTTGTATACTGATATTGCTCATAAATAAACTTTTACGTAAACCGCAGCTGCAACTTTTGTTATTATTCAGTTTTTAAGTCTTTGTGGCGCATGTCTATACGGGGTTTTTAGAAGATTTGTTAATAATATATTTTTATAAATTTAGGGACAGGCGACAGAGTAGTTATTATATATTTTTTCATCGTTTTGCTGAGGACAAAACGAGAGGTTTTACTCGGTTCAGGCAAAAAATATAGGAAAAAAAAACTATTATACCTGCTTAAGAAATAATAACTAAAAATGTGATAACTAAACTTTAAATTTATTAAGCAAGAGAAATAATTAATTTGTAAAAAATAACTTTTATTAACCCTAAAAAGTTGGGCCTTCTCATCAAAAAAGAGGGGAAGTTAAGAATTCTTGATATCAGCCTTCCTGATTTTTTTTCAGTTTGTGAATAAAACTTATTACACTTTTTTTATTCAATTATCAATTCACAAAGAAGTTTATTTGAAAATTGAAAGCAATTATTAAAAACGTAATTATTTAAGAGATCAGTATTCTTAGACGGGAAAAGGTGTTATAAAGAGAGACTACGAGACTTCACTTGAAGGCAAACATACTTTAGTTAGAATGCCCTAATTCCATGTAAACTTAAAAATTAGAAGCAAAAAGTCGGAGGCCTTTCAAATACTTTCTAAAATTAAAATAGAGGCAGCTAGAAGTAAAAAACCTTAGAGGTTATACCTAAAATAAGCAGAATACTTAACTGCAAAAAAAAAGTTTCTATATCAGTTACAACAAATATTTAGGATGAAATTAAACTTTGCACCGCGTACTCTCCTCTCAATAGGCGTAGTTTAATAAAAACGTAATTACCAAAAAAAAATAGAAAAGTTTTCAGCGAAGACCCATCGGAAACCAAGCCTTTTATTTATAACTTAGTATAAAGTCTTGCTGAAAACTAGCTGGTATCTTTTAATTATAAAACATATTTGCGACAAAATTGAGCTTTGTACTGCGTACTTTTAGATCGGTACCGCAGTTTAGTAGATAATATCAATAAGAAAAAAAGTCTGGAAAACATATTCAGCGAAGCCCTCAGATACCAAGCAATTTTTTATTGGATTAGTAAAAATTTTTGGTGAAAACCAATTAATAAATTGATTTCAAAAATATTTGCGACGAAACTGAGCTGTGCACTGCGTACTCTTCCCTTGATAGTGTCAGTTTAGTAAATAATGACAAAAAGAAAAAAAGTCTAAAAAACATATTAGGCGAGGGCCCCTCAGAACTAAGCATTTCTTTTTATAAATTGGTAATAACTTTTGCTGAAAACCAATTGGCTAATCTTCTTCCTCATCTTCCTTCAAGTAGTTGAGCCCAAAAGATTTTGCCTATTAATATAAGAACCAGCTATGAAAGTTATAACATTTTTATTAATATTTAAGAACTTTTATATAATTACTATGTGATAAATGTATTCTATTTAACTTTTCGTTGCATATTTTTCTTTTTTTTACTTTACAACTAAGTTTTAAAGCCTATCAAAAATATTATTCTTCTTACTGATAGTCAGCAGAAATAGTAGTTTACCTTTTACTTTAATATTATAACAGTAATAAAAAATTTTTACTTTAGAAAAAAATTATAAACTTGTATACCCCCTTAAGGAATATAAGCTTTTCTTCTTCCAAAAAGAAGTTGTATAATCTTGAAGTGGCGGTTCGCTATATTGCATAAAGCTAGTAATTTTTTACTTTTTTACTTTTTATCACTCATACTTTAGCCTTGCGAGCTTCATAAACTAGAAAAAGGTCCCTCCACTTCTGTTTATGCTAAAAAAAATGATTTGTTACTTTACTTAAAGCAAATGATGGCAAGTAAAATCGATTTTATTATTATTTTCAAATTTTACTTATAGAAGTTATATAAAATATTCAAGTCTTCATAAATATTTAGATTCAGTAAAATTATTTATCAAAACTATATTAATAATTTAAGAAATTAATTTATTTTTATTTTTTTTTATGCTTAATTGTTAATGACTCAAAATTATTAATTTTAACTTAAATTTTAAAATAAATAAAACTATTTATAAACTATTAATTTTTTTAATTTTTAACTTTTAATAATAAAATATACTAAAAAACAGTTAAAAAAATTTTTTAATTCGGTTATGACTTCTATTTTAGTAATATATATACGTTTACATATACTTCAATTAAACTTTTTTAATCCCTTTTCTTTTAAAGTTACTACTTAATTCCTGTTATAATTTTTTTCTTAAACTCTGTAATTAAAACATATATTTATTAAAGTAAAACTTTGAAATTTTTCTTTTTATATATGGAAAATTACTTTTTTAATTTTTTTAGTCTAGTTTACTTTTTACTAAAAACTATAATTAAAAAAGTTAATATATAGAAGAACCCAATAAATTAAGCAGAGCTTTAGTTTACCAATAGAAGCGCAAATAATTACTTTACAAACTTTTTTAATAATAATTTTAGTATAATTAATTTTTATTATATGATAACACCGCGAAAAATGACGAATAAAAGGACGTTATTTTAATAAGTATAACGCGTTAATACTTATTATTATAATAATCTTGTAACAAACTCTTCACAGCATACTAAATAAGCTGATCATTATTTTAAAACTCTAAAATAAAAAATTATAAATAATTATTTTTTTTAATTTAGTAATAATAATATATTATTCGGTTTTTTAACACATATAGTGAGATCGACTATTAAATAGAAGGCAGTTATTGGTCAATCGTCTATTATTTGCTTTTTCTTTTATATATTGAAAACTGAATCTTCATAAAAATTGTATAAATAATTTCATTACATTTGCATCACTTTTTTTGCCCAATAAAATGACCTTTACAAACTTTTTAAAATTTTCTAATTTTAAATTTTTTTCACATAATATATTTATCAAACTTTATTAATTCTGGCCACTAGTAAAGCGTTTGATTTATATAAAATTATAAATATATTATTATTATATTTTTCTCGGTTTCATAAGAATTATGTACTTTTTTTTCGGCTTTATAAAAATATTATAGACTTTTATTATTATTTTTTTATATAATGTTTATAATATTACCCTTTAACTTACATTAATTTTTTTGAAATTTGTTTTCCAATGAAAATCATTTTATTAAGTTTTTATTAACATTTTTTGTTTATAAATAAATGTTAATGATTTTTTTTTATTCGTATTTACTAATCATTTTTATATATAAAGTTACTATTTTCATTAACCGTGCTGTTAAATTTTAAAATCATAATAAGTTTTATATTTTAATGAATAGAAAAAGAAAATTTTTTTATTAAAACTCGTAACACTTTTCAAAAATTTTATTGATTTATTAGTACATTCGACGAATGGAAACTGTTTGCGCAGATTTGTATAGAGCTCGTTTTATTAGAGGCTTCTGTCACCTTTACACTGGACAAGTATCAATTATTATTATAAATAGTATAAATGTTATTATTGTTAATATTTATATTTATTATAATAATATAATGAAAATTTTTGTGGTCATAAAATTTTTTTTTCTTCTTACCGTACATGTGGGAAGTTGTAGTCACGTGCTTTCTCACTACACGTTTCAATAGGCGTTCTTTTGGTGGTAAAATATAAATACAAGCTTTAAGGAGGCATTCAGTCGTTGCTTACTTATAGATTCAAATATTTTTGTTGGGTGTCTATTTTCTAGAATTTATTTCCTTTTATTCATATAGTTTAATGAGAACTTTATCAATATTAATAATGAATTTATTTTTATAGTTACCTAATAATATATAAAAAACCAAGTATGAAAGAAGACGGCCTATTTCGTACTCAAATTTAATCTTTTTTTCTACTTAGGAAGCTGTTGCTACCGGAATAGAAGCTATTTTGAAACCGCAAGATTCTGTTATTACTTCTTACCGTTGCCACGCCTTTGTCTATACACGTGGCGAGAGCATTAAGGATATTATTTCAGAGTTACTCGGTTGAACCCGTTTCTTATTATTATTAAATTGTTACATACAATTTTTTTTAAAATAAATAATAAACTACCTATTAATATTATTTTTTAAACATAAAAAAGTTAATTTTTTAGATCTGAATAAATTAACTAATTATTTTTAATTAAGATTTTTTAAGTTACTAATAAAACAGCGTCTTTTAGTTTCTTAAGCAATCTTTGCTGTGAAACTTTTAGCTTAAAAAAATATTTTTATTAATTATTTATTATTATTTAAAATAATATAATAAAATTAAACTTATATTTATAGTACTAAAATTGTTACTTTTTCTACTTATGGCTATTACTTTCATTATTATTTCATTTATGAGTATAGTGTAGACTAACTTTTTTTTATATTTTACTTATACATCACTATATAATGATAAAACTTGTCATAATAAAAATTATATAAATAGTAATAATAACAATAATAAAATAATGAAGAAAAGTTTAAATAATATTTTTAAGGACGCAAGAATGGAGTTTCTAAGGGAAAAGGCGGCTCCATGCATATGTACACCCGGAATTTTTATGGCGGAAACGGAATTGTTGGAGCTCAGGCACATGAATTATTATTATTATTATTATTATTATTATTATTATTATTATTATTATTATTATTATTATTATTATTATTATTATTAATTATTAAACTCTTTAGGTTCCTATTGGCACTGGAATTGCTTTTGCTCATAAATATAAAGGCGACGACGGTGTTTGTTTTGATCTTTACGGAGATGGCGCTGCTAATCAAGGCAACATCATTATTTATTACTATTACTATTACTGTATTACCATTATTATTAAATTCCCATTTATTTTTTATTTATTTGTTTCATTACCAACTTTTCTCTAATAGTAATCATATAAAGATTATTTTTGATATTTTTTTTATACTAAACTTTTACTATGTGTTTTTATCATTCAGGACAAGTTTTTGAGTCCTTCAATATGGCTAAACTATGGAACCTTCCTGTTATATTTGTTTGTGAAAATAATAAATACGGTTTTTTTTTCTTATCATTACTATTACCACTATTAACTATAAGAACTTGATAGGAATGGGGACCTCGCAGGAACGCTCCTCTGCAAGTTTCGCTTATTATAAACGGGGGGACTACATTCCTGGCCTGCAAGTGGATGGTCTGAATATTATTTGTTACCGATTGTTTTTATTTTACCAATATAATTGCTTTATTATTTAGCTGGCTACATTATTAGTTGCTATTTACTTTTTTCTGTAGCAGTATTAATAGTTTTATATACTTTTTTATAATGAATTTTTTTAGAAGTTTTTTTTTACATTTAAGGAGCTTTTTATGTTTCTTTGATTTCTATTTATTAGTGGTTATACCTTTTTTGATCTCACTTGGTTTGGTAGTAAAGTAATAATGTCTGTAGGATTTTTAGAGGCTTAATATTAAATATAAAACTGTTTAGCTTTAGTTTTTTATATGAAAAATATGGTACAAAATTTTTCCTTTGCTGTAGCCGGCCAGTAAAGAGTGAGTCTTAACAGGCTTCATGTGGGCAATACAGCATGCGCTTCAGAGTGATGCCACGAGTGTCACTTAGCGTTAGACTCGTGACAACGCCTCCCAACAAAGCTTTGGTGTCCCACTTTTTTTAATTTAGAAAAAAAATTATTATAGTAATTGTTTGTCCTTTTTTTTTCGCCCTGACGACACTACTTTGGTAGCGTTTTGTTATACCTTGAGCGGAATTCTTTCTTCTCAATATTTTTTTAGAAGATCGAATAATTTTTTTTTATTGGTAGGAATGGACGTTCTTGCTGTCCGTGAGGCCTCTCAGTTTTGTGCGAATTTTTGCCGAAGTGGGAAGGGTCCTATTTTAATGGAAACGGTTACTTACCGCTTCGGAGGTGGGCAGCCCATTTGTGGATTTATCACCTGTATTAGGGTCGTAGAAGATACACATAAAACACATGGGAAAGCATATGTTACAACGGGTTTTATGACGCGAAGTTACCTGTGTGTCCCATGATTTCCTCGCGATCTTTTCTCTAACTAAATTTTTAGGGCACAGCATGTCCGACCCCGGGACCACCTACAGGACACGTGATGAGGTCCAGCAAATGCGGATCTCGAAGGATCCCATTTTGAGTTTGAAAGAAAAACTTCTTGGTGTCGGTAACAAAAAAAATAATGAATTTTTTTCTAATACCAAATAAAAAAAAAGGCGAACTTTCTTTTTATAAATTATTTTTAATAGATCTACATAAAATGTTTACTTTTTAATAAAGTAATGAGGGAGTACTTTTTTTATATCTACTGAAAAAATAATTATTTTGAAATTTTATAACTGTTATGACCACGTGGCCTATACTTTATGCAGTAAAAAATATTTAACCACTTATTATTAGGCATTATTACTGAAACGTATTTTAATGAATTGCAGAATACTATAAAGAAAGAAGTTGAAACTGCCGTAGAGGAAGCGAAAGTTTGAACTCTTTAATAAAATTTTCATAATATTTTGTGCATATTATTAAATTAATTGATTGGTTACTTCTTTGCTACTTTAAATTTTCTAAATATACCCAAAATTTTTCTTTTATTCGTTATTTTTATAAAATATTTCATTATTTTTTTATTATTTTAGTACATTTTTTACTACTTTAATTATTTATCTACTTTCTTATTAACTTTTTTTTTATCTTTGGATCAACATTCATTATTATCTATGCTTAAAATAACTTATTTTCATTATTTTTTATGATATAATTATTACTTATTTTCTTATACTTTATTGTTACTATTCGTGCTTATTATCACTTATTATTCTTTTTTATTATTATTTATAAGATTAATTATTTATATATTTTTGTTATTTACTTTTATATTTTTTTTTTCTTGTTACTATTTCTATTTTATTTATAAAAATTCTTTTTTTTTTTTATTTTTTAGTTTATTATTTATTATTAGTACTAATATAATCCGTTATTCTACTTATTATTATTATTATTATTATTATTATTATTATTATTATTATTATTATTATTATTATTATTATTATTATTATAGGCTTCAGAAGAACCAGAAACAGATGCGCTGTTTCAAGATGTTTATGTTAAATACTTGGATTCGGTAAAAATGTTTATCTGTTTTTATATTTATTCGGTTTCACCAATTAAAATAATGTTTTGAATATCTTGTATATCTGATTGGTGAAAGTATTCATATAAAAAAGTTTTGCTATTTACTTTTATTAGGATTTATTTTATATTTATATTTTATTGGTGTATTCAATATAATTATTTTGTTGATATTCATTATAATTATTGAAATTTTTATAAACGCTTATATGATTGGTTTCAAATTTACTATTAGTCTTATTATAATTATTTTACTTTCCATTCATATATATAATAGATAATGGGTGTGTTTATTAGAATTTTCATTTGCTATTCATTATAATTAAAAAATTTTAACACAATGATTGGTGTGTTAATACAATCAATTTACTTTCATGGAAATATTTAATAATATTTACATAAATTTTATTACTATTTAATATGCTTATATTACTAATAATTAATGCATTTAATAATTTTTTTTATATCGTTATTATTTATGTAATTTTTAACACATTTGATTGGTGTATCAAAACTTATAATATTTAAAGGTATATTTTTTAAAAGTTTTATTATAGTTTTTTACTATTTATATTCCTATACAATTAATAATTGGCGCATTTACTATAATAATTTTTGGTGTCGTTTTTATTTATGAATTTTTTTTTAAAACATTGAAATGATTACTCATGATTTTTAACTCTCATATGGTTGGTGTATTAAATTTTATAATCTTTGAAGGTATTTTTATTAAAAGTTTTATTATAAATTTGTTACTACTTACAATGCTTATACGATCAATAATTGGCGTATAATTTCTTCTTGTTATTTATCTATGAATTTTTTTAACATTTTATTGATTGATGTATTAGATTTTATTGTTTTACTTTTTAAAAGTGTATTGATCAAAAATTTATACTATTTGTTACTTTTATAGGATTAATGATTGGTGCATCTAATAAAATTTTTCTTGTAATTCACTATTTATGATCCTTTTTAACACTTTAATGTCTGTGTATCAAATTTTATTATTTTTTAAAAGTATATTAATAATATTTTTTACTATGTGGACTCTTATTCGATTAATTATTAATGTATACAATATAATTTTTTTTTTCCTCTTATTCACTATTATTTATGAATTTTTTAACACTCCTTTAATTGGTGTATTATTATTTTTATTTTTTATAAGTATATTTCTTACTAATTTTATTATTTTGTACTCTTATACGATTCTTAATTGGTGTATATAACATAATTTTTTGTTTTTAATCATTACAATTCATGAATTTTTTAGACTTTTAAGATTGGTATGTTTTTCTAATATTAGGTTTATAATATATAAAAGGATATTTAATGTATTTTTTTATTTTTTTACTACTTAATATGCAGTAATTAATAATTGAATTTATTAATGAAAACTTTATTAATTCTTAATAAAAATTTTTCATACAACGTTTTATTATAGTTGGCCGTCTTTCTTAATTATTTTATTCTTTTGTGTTATTTGTTCAGTAAAATCTGGAAACTTTTTTATTGCTTTTCTGATTGGTAACTAATTTTATAATTTTCTAAACTTTAATTGTTTCATATTATTATTATTTACTATCACTCTCCAGATCAGAAAATTATCTTTTCACTTTTTTATATAAATCTCTTATTATTATAATTTTATTATCATTTAATAATAGTTATTTAACTTCTTTTTATTTTGTATCGTAACAATTTTTGCTTTAAAGTTTATATAAAATATTTTTCATAAACTGATTGGTTATCTATTTTCATTATTTTTTTTCAATTTTTTTCACAATTCTCTCGACTCGTGATCCTCGTTTATGTATATAATTGTTATATTATAATTATTTATGATTGGTGAATTACTATTAAGAAATTTTCTCATTGGAAGTTCACTAGTTTATGGATTTTATAATTTTTTATAAAACACATAAATAACTTTTAAATATTATAACATTTTTAAAATTTTCAGAGTATATTATATTTTTATTTGTGTTTTTATTAATATTTTAGGGAATATTTATAAAAATAAATCTATAAGCAAATAATTCATCATAGCTGTGTTTAATTTTTTAACTTCTGTTAAGTTTTACTTTTTATTTTTAGGAAATTCGAGGATGCGATGCGTTTTCTTATCATTCGATTTCCTCTTAACTCAAAAAAAAGTTGAAACACTTATAATAAACTTCATAAAATAAAATAAAAAATTTTATTTTATTTTAATTAATGAAAATAGTTAAATAGCAGATTATTTATATAGTTGAGGGGTGTAAGTGTCGCGCTTTTTCCTTTTTTTTTTTCTTGCTGTTGTTGTGGTTGTCAGTGATTGTCAGACTGAGAATTCTGCTACTCACGCGGCTAGTGAGCAATTAAAAACATAAAATTAATATTAAAAATATATAAAACTTTTAACAGATAAATACATTATATAATTTTTTTACTTTAACTCCAAAAGTAAATAACATATTACTCTCATTTGTTTAGAATATCTTAATTCCTGAAGTCATCAGGTCTGTGAGATCAACATATTAACATGTTTTTTCTTTATAATACTAAAGTTATACTTTATTATATTTATTACTGTTTAGTTTCTTTAAAATTTTAAAACTTTTTTAAACATGGTAGTAATTTTTATTGGTATAATTGCTTAATTTTAAAAAAATCTTTAATAATCTTATTATATTTGCAATTTTTATTGCTATTATTGTTCTTTATTATTAATATTTAAATTTTTTATTTAAAATCTTAAAAATTTTAAATGTTTATAGTAAATTTTGTTTTTATAATTATTTATTTTTAAAAAAACTTAGAAAATTTTAACATGTTTGCGTTGTACGTATATTAATATTTTTATTATAATTAATATTACTATTCATTATTAAAATATTTATTTTTTATTTTTAATCATAAACTTAAATGTGTATATATTACTTTTTCTTATTTTAATTATTTCCTTAAGATTTATTAAAATTTTTTATATCATATTTGTATTGTATACATGTTAATATTATTGTTATTACTTATGTTCTTTAAAATCTTAAACTTTTAATACGTTTATAGTAACAATCAATTTTTTTATAAAAATTCTTAAAATTTTTTTTTAAAATATTTGTAATGTGTACGTAGTAATATCATTATCCTTTATTATCAATACTGTTTATTATATCTAATTTTTATTATATTAATATTTTAATAATTATTATTACCTATCGTGAATTCATATATTTATTCTGTAAGAAATTTTGAAAACTTTAATAATATTTGTTATTATTACCTATATTAATGTAAAGCTTTTATTATCTTCTTAGAATTCATAATAACTTATAATGTATCGATACTAATATTATTTATTAGTATGAATCTAAAAATAATAAAAGAACGATAAGTCCATGAATACATATTTGGATCCGATTAGTAAATTAAAAAAAATAAGTATTTTTATATAAACAAATAAATATATTAGATAAGTATAAATATTTATTATACATATTTATAGAAAAATATTATAATAAAAGGTATTTTTAAAACGCAAATTCAAAATCAAATTTAATTTATTAAGCGTAAACTGCTATTAAGAATTTTATAATAAACTCAAAAGATTTCTCGTAAATTAAAAGTAAAAAAGAATTTACCAGTAAGCATTAATGAGAAGTTTAAGCATTCAAGTACTCAAGAACCAATTAAATTTAACAACTCTTCTAATAATTAATTTTTTTTACAATCTATATCACACGACAACTTTAAATTATAATTAAATAAGGGCCTTTACGTGCTCAAAAGCTACTTGTACCGCAAAAAAAGTGCTTTATACTATTATCTAATAAAATATAAAAGAATTTGTAGTAATAATACTTCTAAGGGGATGACCCTCCTAAAAATAAATCGAGAATTTTTATAATATAAGGTTTAAATTAACTTAAGAGTTTAAATAGAGTTTATGGTGTCCATAATCAATATAATAAAGTCTTTTTTTAAAAATGATAAAAAGAGTATATATGTTTTAATGGTTATTGTTTCAAAGAAAACTAATTTTGGGCCTTTTCGTACTCAAGAGATATTTGTACTGTAGTTAAATTACTTTAATATATAATAAATATAAAAAAAGAAAGCTTAATTGAGATATCGGTAGTACACTTTATATTGGTAATAACACTTTTCCAAAGGATGTAGCTTGCTCAAAACGATATTTGAAATAGTTTTTTCTACATAATAACTTAATTATATTTGTGGTGAGATAAACTGATACCTGTGAGAAAACTCACATATTTTAACTTTAAGAAGCTTTTGTTTTGCTTTTTGTAAAACGAGGCGCATTCAGGAAGTCTACTTTACTTTTAAAATTGGTAGCCTAGAAACATTCTTAGATTTGATATTAAAAAAAATTTCAGGCTAAGTAGGTCTCATAGTAAACAAGTGAAACTTAAAAGGTGTGGTCATATAATTTCTAAAAATTATAATTTTTATTGTACATGCTTTTCTGAGGACAATAAAAATATGATTTAGAAAAACCATACACAATTAGAAACTATCAGTTAAAGTGCAGTTGACTTTCCTTATAAACTATTATAATCGTAGGACACATTAAAGGTTACAAATTTTATTTTACTAAACCACCGCTGCACTACTTTAATAAACTTTTCCTTATAAATAAACACAAGCCCTACAGATGCGTCTTTATAAAATTAAATCGAATATTTCCGATAAGAATGTTTAAAAATGAGGTAATACAAAAATCTAAAAGATGATTTCCGCTTAAGAATCGTAAAAGGTGGCCGTTCTGAGAACTCAAATATTAGAAATTAAAGAATTCTTAAGGTTGTAACGCTTTTGGAAATACCTCTAACAGTGCGTAATTGTTACAAACATTTATAAAAGCAAAACGCTATATATCAAGTATTACCAGCCAACCAGGAAAGATTTACACGGCAATTACCTTCTTTCGACTGCAACACAAAAAGGCTTTAAAAAATATATAAGCCCCATTTATTTAAAAATTTAATTTTTTAATAACGACAAATACAAAACGCAGCTAAATTCTCGATCGCTTTTTTTTTTTTTAACAAAAAGAACTCCCCCTGAACTTTTCTTTTTTCTTGAGCGTTATAGTCATTTAAATCAAACGCAGCATTCCAATAACAAGGTGAAGTCAAAAGGCTTATCAACCATAAAATTAATAAGTTTGAAGCGAATCCTAAAGGTAATAATAAAATTATTAAACGATATACATAATGAACGGATAAACTTACCAGAATACTTTTATTTTACTATACTTTACAAGCTTGTCATATGCAAGCAACCTTGTCCTTCGCCTCGATCACAGTGAGGTAGGTGTAAATTACCCTTTAAAGGTCCTGTTTAGGCCGACCTGTTATTGGCAGGATCATCTCTTAATTCGGGCATTTGACCGCTGGCTATGACCTGGAGCTTTCGCAAAGTCAATCAACTCTTTGGCGGCGCGAGGTTGCTTTTTGTCCTTAGGCTAACATCTAAAAAGGCCAAAAAAGATTGGTCCTATAAAAATTGCGTTTAGACTCAATAGTCCCTGCTGGTTACAATCTCTGGTTGCTAATACGGCTCCATCCGGAGACGGAAGGATACATGCAAGCAGGAGTATCTCGTCTCGAGTCGGGTCACCCTCTTCTATTCCGAGGGCTATCAAAGATGTTTCAGAAAGCTTTCTGTTTGGTTAATTTTTACCTTCATCTAGACATGACTAGCATACTATTTATACTTGAACTCATTAGTAGTATATTTAGCTAATTAACTAAGAACCCGAAGAACCGTGACTATGGTACCTTCCTGATATGAACTCTAGGTTGAGAGGTCTGTGTCCCTCCGGAGAGTCGCTGGTTGTGTCACCCACGGTTCGAAAGAAATACCATTAAAAATGGTAAAAATGCGTCTGTAGCATAAGTTCTTTGGCAAGTGCTAGATCCCCTGTATCTTGTAGCGCAAATTATGGTTACTGAGCTGCCTTGTGTCTGGTGACTCCGGGTTCGTTAACTAGAAATTTGTTGCTATGTGATTAGCCTATGGGTTTTGAAAAGGTTAAAGCAAAAAGCTAAATGGCTTTGCGCTTCACTGAAAGAAGCTAACGCAATGTATATTGGCATTGTCTCCCGAAGCGTAATATCCTTTTACGAGGCCTAGAAAGATCTAGAGGAACCCTGGAAGAAATCTTGGTAAAACTAATGCAAGTACGACTGAAAGCAAACAAAAGGGCTGTTTTAGTAGAGTGATTATAAACAACGCTATGCCTTTTTCGAAGCTACTGGTGCAGTTACGCAAATATAATTGAGTTTGTCTAAACTACGAACTTATTGATAACTGTATGGTTACATCGGTGTTAGTATTATGGTCATTTCGATCAGCCTAGCCAGCTGTATCGGTGGCTATAGTACTAAATAGTGTTGTTTACCAATATACTTATATATATGAGACCGAAATCCTCTTTCTCCAAATGTTTTCGAAATTTATACAAAAAATTGACTACCTTATTTAGAAAAACAATTTATTATAAGCATTTAGCTACGCTCAAATTTTAAATAAAATCATTAAGTTTTACTTTTTTAAAACAAAATCTCTTTTTGTTTATATATTTAAAAATAAAATCTCTTTTTGTTTATATATTTAAAAATTTGTTTATAGTGAAGCATAATATAAAATCTTGAGCAAATTAGAATAGCTGGTAAGCATATGAAAAGAAAAAAAAAAAAAAAAGATGAAATTTAATGATCCGACTAAAATAATAAATTTCAAGTTTTAATTTTTTTTCTAAAATAAATTCTACATATAATTTCTGATCCGCCAATTATTATTGACTTATTTATTTTAAATTACTTTCAGTATCAGTAAAAGTACGACAACGTCTTGTTTATAATAAATTAAGCTGACTAAAATTTATTTTATAAATAAAAATTTTCATAAAAACTTCAAATTAAGAATAGAAAAATTAAATTCTTTATTGGTATTAGCTTCAATGCCTTCTATAATAGAGTGAAGAATCTCATTCCATCGAGTAAATTAAAAAAAATTGATAAAAGTTTTGAAGTTCTTTTATTAAAGAGTCCAATTACACTAATTAAAATATTATTATTATGATGAAGATCAACATTATTATAAAACGTACTATACAAAGTTGGATCCAACTGGTCAGGAAGTTTAGTGATTTCCAATTCGAAGCGCTGCTGGACTTTATCGAGTATCTCGGAATCCTCCGCCGAAGCAACAAAAGAAATAGCCAATCCCTTGGTCCCAAAGCGGCCGGTGCGTGCCACCTAACCAATAAAATTGCGCTCAGTTATTATAGCTGTATTGTCCTCGCTGTACAAAAAATCGTTATTATAATTATTATTATAAATATGATATTACTAACTAATAAAACTTAATAAAAAAGAATTAAATAGTTTTCATTATTAAAACGTTTTTTATAATAAAATTATGATTTATAATTACTAATTTCAATTTACTGTTAATAATTTATAATAAAATCACAACTTTTTCTTTTAGATTTTATAAATCTCAAATAACAAAACAATTTTGATTATTCTGATTCCTTTATAAAAAAATTTATATAAAAAGTTGTGCTTTTAATTAAAAATTTAAAGAATTTGTTTAATAATTATTTTTAAAATTATATTATTATTTTTTTTTCTCATTATTATTAAAAATGTTATTTATAATTACACGATGTAAGTAAGTATCGGTGTCTTCGGGCATATCATAATTAATGACAATATTCACTCTTTCAATGTCAATCCCTCTTCCCAATAAATTCGTAGCCACCATAATGCGCTGTTCGAAGTTCTTAAACCCTTTTAGAGCAGCAAGTCTGTAAGTTATAATAGTAGTAATTTAGTGCAAGTTCCACAATTTTATATATAAACAAAAAAAAACCTCTCACGCTGCTCCATGCGGCTGTGCATGCACATGGCGGGGAAGCTGCACGTGACGAGGTGCCTGCACAAGAAGGCGCACCGTTCGATACTCGAGACGAATATGATGACCTGATTGAACTCGAGTGAGTCAAGTAAGTCCGCGAGTTTCTTTAGCTTCGCTTCTTCCGTAAGTTTGAGGTAATGTTGCTGAAGGCCGTCCAACCGCAGCTTCGACTGGTCGTCAACGTATATTTCCATTGGCTGGAAAGAATTAACATCTTAAGTCTATAAGACTACAACTTTCAATGCTATAAAAAAAATTTATTTAAAATTTTTCACAACTAAAGACTTTATTTAATTTTTATAAAAAAAAAAACAATAATAAAAAGACGAGTATAATTAATAGAAAAAACGAAAAAATAATAAATATTTATATATCATTTTTTTATTTATAAACTCTCAATACTTCATTAGTTACAAAACTTATTTTAAGTTTCGTTATTACTATAATTATAATATTTTTGCCTCGTTTATAACTTTTATAAACTTTTATATATAATATATTACAATAATAATAATAATGTCTTTAAAAGTCACGAGACTTCTTTACCTCGTGCATGAAGCGCTTGCAAACGGGTCGTATTTCCTTCGACAAAGTGGCGCTAAACATAAGCACTTGCTTATTACGTGGAGTCGCTCTAAATATATCCTGCACGTCCCGTCGCATTCCTCCATAATAATAATAATAATAATAATAATAATAGTAATAATAATAATAATCATCCTACAAAAGTAATAAATCAAATTCAAAATTCAAAAATTATGTAAAAAGTCATTAAAAAAAATAACAAAAAAGTTAACTATGAAATTAAAAGTTTATTTTCGAGAACCAACAAAAAGAATCCACTAATCAAAACAAAGATTTATTCTATACACCAATCATATAGACTCTAACTAATCCTTCCCCAATCCAACAATTTATAGATAAATTATAACGAATCAAAATTTTTTAATTATTCAAACATTTTCTAAACACAATTTTTCATTAATTATAACTAAAAATTATTTTAAAAATAAATTTTTTTAATAATCTTCAACACAATAAAAAAATATTTTGTTTGCTTGTTTATATGTAAAACGTCCTTATATAATAGTACATTACTATTATATATATTCTACAAGATTAATAATTTTTTATATATAAAAATTATAATAAAAAACAATTGGACTATTTATAAAAGTTATAATATTTTTTTAAATTGCTTTTATTTTAAAAAAATAATTTATGATTATTTTATAAAAAACCATAGAAGTAATTAAAATTTTATTACTAAACAAAACTTTCAACTGCTAGCAATAATTCGATAAAACTAAATTTTAAATTTATTGAGATTTATAAAAATAAAAAAATTCGAATAAAATTTCTTTGTGAAAAATTTATTTAAAATATTTAAAATTTAATTTCTAGTTTAAAATTATATAAACTAAAACAACTAATCTAAAAAGTAAAGTTGTTTAGTGCAATAAAAAAAACTTTATAACAAAAAAATCTAAATTATAATTTATACTTCAAAATTCCGCTAAACAACTAATAAAAATTTTTAATAATATTTATTAAAAAAATAAAAAAAATTACAATTCTTCAAATAATTTCTAAATTTATTAAAATTTTCTTAAAAAAAAGTCAAAAGGAAGAAAAAAATAAAAACCTTAAACCTTCTTTTTTAATATAATCCCAAATAAAATAAATATTAAAGCTATAAAAAAATTATTTCATTTATAAATTTTTTTAGATTTAAATAATTAAAATATTGATCAGCCCAAGTAAATCAAACTTTATAAAATTATAAAATAAAATTTACTATAATATTTGAAACTTAAAATCAAAAATTGAAAATACCAATATCTCGACTCGAATCGAGCATTTTATCACACTCGTCAAGCACAAACACCTTTAATTTACTGAGGCTCATGCGGGCTCGGGCCGGATTGTCAGGGGAGACCAAATCGAGTATCCTGCCGGGCGTCCCAACGACGATCTGAGGGCGCTTCGCAGGATCTTTTAGAATCTTTTCATTTTTCAAAATGCTTTCGCCTCCGTAGAAAACTTCGCAGCGCACGTTTTCCATGTACTTTGAAAAACGGACGTACTCGTGATAAATTTGCCATGCGAGATCCCGTGTGTGGCACATGACTAGAACTTGAACTATTTTTAAAAAAATAGTAAGTTACTAATCGTTTCTTCGGGATTTTTAATTAAATGAAATATTTACTATTTTAAATTGCAAAAAAAATATGAATATAAAAAAAATAATTTGAATCGAAAAAATAACTAAATATGGATATATCATTAATAGTAACAGGATAAATAAGAAAGTAATTAAAATTAAAATTAAAATGACTAAATTATAACAATTTAACTTTAATCGATAAATTAAAAAAAATAACATCTCAAAAATGAGACGAAGACAATACTTTAACATAGATCTCATAACAGACTATATATAGTTAAAGTTATAATTAATAAAAATTAAATAAACTTAGTAAAATTATTTTAAGGAAAATAAAAAAATCAAGATATAATTATATTTCAATTTTTTTTTAGATATTTATGAATTTTATTTAATTTAAAAATCGTAAAAAAAAATAAAAAAAGACCTTCATTCTCGGAAGTTTGTAGATTATGCAAAGTAGAGAGAACGAACACAGCAGTTTTGCCCATTCCAGACTTCGCTTGGCAAAGGATGTCAGTACCAAGAATTGCTTGAGGTATACACTCATGTTGAACTAAAAGTTTTTAAAATTAATTATGTAAACGGTAATATATTAGTTATTCAATGACAAAATTAAATAAATCAATTTACTTAAATTATTTTATAACAGAAAAACATACTTAAAAAACAATTCAAAATCCAAACATAAAGAAATAAAAATATGGAAACACTATACCTTGAGAGGGGCCTTCAAAGCCACAATCGATTATAGCACGCTGAAGTTCAGGTTTTAAAAGAAAATCTTGAAACCCAGAAGTGTGAATACCCACGTACCCTTTACGAAACAGAAAAGTACGAGTATTATAAACTAAAAAAAAAAAAAGAGTGATCCTTAAAAAAAACTAGATATACCAGTTCCTTTCTTTTCTTTAGTATCCTCTACTTCGGCTTCTACGATAGGCGCATCTTCATAGTCTAAAAGATCATCCATTCTTGTTAAAAATTACAATAAGCTTACAAACAATATAAGTATATTGAAATAAGAGTATAAAGCACATAAAAAAACTAATATAATGAATCAATACCTTGAAAGTAGCTAATAATGAATGTATTGTTGTGCAAAAAAAATTGTTAGTAATTTAAATATATTTGAGTGGTTAAAAAATAAACAAGGTAACAAGAAAGTAACTAAGTAATATATATATATTATGATAAAAAATACTTGTATGTAATTTTAATTATAATAAAAAATAGAAAGATATATAAGAAAATTAATTTTTATACAGATAAAAATAAGTAAAATTAGTTATAATAAAACACAAATAGCACAAAGTATAAAAGGGAAGACACCCGCAAGAAAGGAAGCCAGAAGTCAATTAGAAATTTTTAAGCCCTAGTAAAACAGCAGAAAAATTATGTGCAATAAATGGTTTTTCTCTTACCAAATTATTTTTAATTTGGTAAAATATAATTAAATGAACCAAAACACATGAAAGCAACTTTTACACATGATTACGAAAAGCCCACGTGACTTTGACTTAATTCCTAAAACCCCGTTTCAGTTTTTTTGGCTTTATTTATTTTATCTGCAATGAGCTATATGTTTAAAGCATAAATAGATTATTCATTATTTTTGTTAATACGTATTATAAAGTTATCCTGATTTTTTAATTTTTATAAAATCTATTTTGATCTGTATTTATTTTTATCTTTATATTATTTATACATATGACATAAAAGTGATATTACGAATAACACTGGTTGAATTGTGGTCTTCTTTTTGTGTTTATACCTACCATAAGCAATACAGATTATTACAGTCTAGGTTCAAATAAACTGATTTATAGAAGTAGTCTATATATAATATTATTTATTAAGCACTTTACTTAAAAATCGTTTTGAATAAAATAGCTATGAACTTAAGCTTGTAACGCACTTTCATGCCTTATTTTTTTCTTTGTGGTCGTAATTTATTTTGAAGTTTAATTTGTATTAACTACAACAACGCAGCTGGATTTATTTATTAAACCTATAATTGGTACGAACGTATTATACACATTTTGTGCAACAAGGGCTTGAACGGGTATGCACGTATTTAATTCCATTGGAGCAACTGTGATGTAGGCCTTTTATAGACCCTTGTTTGGAGATAAATAATACCTAATAAAAAGTTTCAAATTATAGAAAAAATTCTATAGGCCAACTCATTTTATAAACCGTATGTTTATGTTCGTATTAGTCAAAAAGTTTAGGATGGCATACCTCTAATTACAGAACAGTTGCTGTTAGACCCTTTGGTACCCTTGCTATCAGTAGATAAGTTATTATCTTATGTTTGGTGTAGGGTTATTTTTCCTATTTATCTACGGTAAATTGTGAATTTTTTTAATTAAGAAAGTTACGCTTTTATTGTGAGTCTTTTAAGTAAGACCATTCTTTAAGGGATACTATCAAAAGTAAAGCCATAAATACTTTATTAACGTTATTTCTTTTTGTTATTATATCCACTTGGGAAAATTAATATTACAAATTCCACTATCTTAAGTCTTCGCGCTATTATGTTCTTCGTCCCTATAGCGGACTTCTAAGACGAAGGTAGAGTTTATAATATAATTGCCTACCTTATCTCTTAGTTTATGAATTGGGGAGGTTTGGTACTTACACAGCACTTCATTTTTCTTACGCTTCAATTTTGCTACGGCTTATAGAGAGTCATTTTTCTTCTAAAGAGAAATTTTGTTTTTGCTCCTTAGCACCACCTTTTTCTTAATGTTTACGTGCCATTGCTCTTCGGTAGTGCCGGCCAGTGGATATACAATATGTTCACATTTGTGACTTGCCCATTTAAATGTAGTATTTTTGGTTGTAGGTATAAACCACTATATAAGGGAAAAGAAACATAATTAATCAGGAGCATATTTTGCCTAATATTGTATACGGTACTCTTAACTACAAAAAAATTCTGCATTTTTAAATAGAATATATATAGAGGAGAGCAACACGCTTAGTGAAATACAACTGTCCTTATTTATTTTATTATTCACACTTTTAAGTTAAATATGCTAAAATCTGCAGGCAACTTTTTCTAATCTAGCATTTAGGTATAATAATTTAACATCTGTGGATAAATCCTTAAGTAGAAGTTGAACATAAAGATTGGAATATATCATTCCGTAGCTCAAGCAAGAGCTTATAGCAGATCTAAAACAGCTGGAAATATTTTTGCATCATGAGCAGTGTTTGCATTACAAGGTCACAAAATCTTTTACTCCATCGGGTAGTAAAAGAACACATCGAATTTACAAGCTTTCAACAGGGTGAGAGCGTAAACATTAGCTTTACGCTTGTGTTATAGTAATCTTATATAAATATTATAAATAATCTTACCCCTAACCTATATTATATATTTAGAGCTCGTTGCGCCTTCTCAGGTTTCGTAGTTGACCCCACCTGGCAATAATCATTTGGTGTGCTAATTGAGCCGATCGTAGGTGGCGATAGTACTGCGTGAACAACGAGACCCAGAGTTTAAATACGGAGACCTTCATGTAGGGCATCGTTCCGAAAAAACCACGGCGCGCCCGTCATAAGGCGTAGCAGCTTGTTTTGCCTCACTTAAAACGAAGAGATTACTGCTGGTGTTGTAGGTCCAGGCAGTAGACGCGTATGTCATGATCGATCAGAAGCACCACAAATACAAGAGTCGTTTGTTGTGCCGCGAGAGTTTGCTTCGGGCGCAAGGTAAAAGGGTAAAGAGATCGCCGCGACATAGTTGACGTGCGGACGCCAAGAGGGCTTACTGTCAATAATGACCCCAAGATACTTCGCCTGAGTACACTAAGGTATTACCTAATTTTCAAGGTCAACAGAGCTATTAGTGTAGTGCGCATCTTTTGGATAAAAAGGGCTTTGTTCAACTCCACATTAATAGTAATTTTCCAACATCGACACCAGTTGGCAAGCATCACAAGGTAATACTGCCGGTGCTGACGCAAGAGGGCAGGTAACTTTGACGATGTGTAAATCGCGTATCATCGTATCATACGCAAATAAGGCAATTCGCATGTTGGGGTCCTCGGGCTGGGGCACGTCGCGTACATAAAGTGCACAGAGTAGAGGTGACCAAAGAGGTCTTTTTGAACCTCCGATCGTTAGTGGTCATAGGGGGGAGTGCTCGTCGTCCACACGTTTATCAAGACTATGTCGCGCAATTGGTGAAGCAAGGCCTTGTGTCAACTCGGTCAAACGCTTATTCGAGATCAAGGAAGACGGTGCCTGTGGCCTTTTCTGAATTAAAGGCAGGGGTCGTCTATGTTAGGCGAAGGAGTCGTTAAGACGTAAGGTATTCTCGTCGAAATTTGTATTGGGCCTCTGGCGGGGCGTGGCTTGCGTCAACAAAAGCTTTCATGCAGCGCAGTATGACCCTCAGCTACCTTCGCAAACGGCTGAAAAGAGGCTGATAGGCCTGCATTTGCTTGGCGTAGATGCTAGTCGGGTGCGTTGAGTACTACAGCAATTGCCGTCTTCCAGCGCAATGGAGGTGGCGAGAGCTTTTGTAGAGTTGATGAGGCAGCTTAGACGTTCTGCCGCCACCATTAGTAATTGCTTTAACATCACATTGGTGATCAATCGAAGCCAGTTGTCGTTCCTCTCGGTAAAGCGTTTGTAATCTCTACGATTCATGGTGTTTGGTTCACCCCTCGGCATAAGCGAGGAAGTTTGATTCACAAAGCACTTCATCAACAACTAAATAAGCAGGTGGCATACACTGAGTAGCGAGGTAATCAGCAAATAGTGTCGCTTTTCAGATTTCTTTTCCGCCACAAAATTGCCGTCTCACATAGTAGGTATCGTATTGTAAACACGATTAGTTTTTGTATTTCCTAATAAACTTCTAGATAGAGACTCGACAGTTATCGTCAACTTCTGATATATTACTTAACTTTATCTCCCACACTCGGGTGTAGTGAGTTGCGCCGCTGTAGTCTATTGAACGCTAAATTATCTTCGAAGCGTGTGAACACCATGGTCATAAGGGCACACACATAACGCTTAGACTCCGCCAATTTTTCAAACATTGTATTAGACCATAGTTCTCGAGTTCCCCTCCTAATCAGACTATTTCAAATTGAAGCTAGTTCATTAGAAGGTTTAAAAAATATGGCGCCGGACTTCAAAAATACCCTTTCCTCTTCCACTGAATAGTTAATACATTTTATAAAGCAATGTAAGTTAAACCCAAGAAACTCCTTTAATTATACTATCCTTACGGAATAAAAGTCAAAATATAATAGACCTAACTTGAAAAACGCTGCTTATTATTCTTTTGGAACTCTACAAACTTGAAATCTCTGCACTTCTTAGATATATTAATCCGGAGCACGACAGAAGCTTTTGAATTAATGACTGTTAATTCTAGTAGTCCCATTATCTGCACGTTTATTGTAGTAGTTTTACGACGCCAAGAAGGCTGCAATATTGGCAAGATAAATGACAATTTATCCAAATCTCTCTCTTTATTCAAAGTACAGTGATAATGTGTGCTAGAAGTAAAGAGAACTGCACTTTATGGCGCTAGAATGCCAGTGTTCCTACGTATTAGTGCTATTACGGGGGATGTGTATTATACTTTAATTACTGTTTAGAAAAGCGTGTGCGGCCAAAGGCTTGAACCTCACTCCAGAAGTCATTGCGTTTATTAAAGCATATTAATTCGACTCTACTTTTTATTTTCTCATATATTCCCCAAATTTAAAATAATTTTTTAGTTATTGCCATTAAAAGGACCTAAAAACATAATTTCTAACACCACCATACTGTGGTATATAAGTTATAAAAAATACATATACCGGGCATACCTTATAAAAAGTGCGATGCTAAGTGTGCAACCGAAGTATAAATTTCGGCAGTTATGGTTTATTTTGACTAAATGAATTTAGATTACCTTCCCGAAATAAAGTAATCTTATAATTAACCTAAAGTTGAGACTCAGTTTCATAATAGTAAAGAATACTCTATTAGTGCTGCCGCTACCTGTTTTTTATTATAAAAATGACAATCTACATGAAAGGTCAGAAAACCTTTAACTGCTTAATCTATCTTCTCTTTTTATTAAAGGGTTGGAGGGGGGGAGGGGTTTAAACCACAAAGAGAGAAAAAAACAAAAGAAAATAGAGGAGCGTCCTTATGAACAGTAAGACAGGTCACCCATCAGACCGTTCAATTTATACTGACTTAGCTTCTAGATATTTTACGAGCTTTGGACTAGTCTGTGCTTTGGCCGCTTGTATTTAGTATACCAACTGGGATCTCCGCCAAAGTAGCCCAGTCGTAACCACACCGTGTGGAGAAGAAGTTTGTCACGTGTGAGAGTCTGCTTGAGCGGCAGAGAGGTAATACAAACTTGTCTTAGCACCATTCGCTTTCTTTCCAGCCCACATGAGCTTTCCCCCCCCAGTTAAACTTGTTATCTACTATAACACCCGGGTACACGGTATGAATCTTCCACAGGATAATATGGTCAAATGAAGTGAGGCCCCGAATGTTGGATATTCTTCGCCTCCTAGAGATAAGTAAGGCACTGCTCTTTAATAGGTTTTTATTCGTTTCCCATTTTTGTAACCAAGCTTCAAGAATGATTAGATACTTTGAATTCGCCGGGTAGCTAAAGATTCTGACTCAGAACTGCAATAATGGCGAGGTCATTAATACGTTGGGCCATAAAAACTGTGATCAATTTGGGTATATGAGATACATATATTATAAACAGTAAGGGTAACAATAAAGATCCTCGTGGACCCCGGCAGTTTGTCTTTATGGAACTGACTTTACCTCGCCTATTTTGGCTATAAACCTCCAATTGAATCTAATTGAACCATTTTGTACAGCAGGCTGTGATGCATACCTTATCAAACACCTTTTCAACACAAGAAATACGGCTACTGTAGACTTTTTATCATTAAAGGCCTTAGTTACGTGCTCAGGAAACCTCAAAAGCTGTTGACTTTAGAGTGTTTCTGTCTGAAGCCGAATTGGTTATCATTAATTATTCCTTTTCAAAAACAATTCTTTGGAACCTCTTGAGAATAATCAATTATGCCACTTTCCTCATGCACAACAAAAGACTGATAGTGCGATATTCATCAACTAACTGGCATTTTCTGCTACTTTAGATGAAAATAACCTCTGCAAGTTTCCAGTGGTCCGGGAACGAAGAATTGTAAAAGGAGAGTTAATGAGGTTTGTGATGTATCTAAGAGACATAGCTGTAAGGTAATTTAGAGTTGGTGAAGAGATTGGACCCTTTGGCCTCTTTAAAAATAAGTGACGCAATGATTTCCGATATTTCTTTTCTGATGTGGGCAATATAGCAGTGAAGCTTTCATTTTCCAAGAGGGTGCTATCGACAAAATCGTGAACCATTTAGTCGAGCTTATTAAGGAAAGCAAATAAGCCAGATAAACGGTTTATTCCTTTAGAGCAAAAAGGGACTTTCCATTCGTTTTTAAAGGCGGTATATTGTCTTTCATAAATTTGAAGACGACTTTAAGTGTCTCGTTATTATCCAGAGGGAAATATCAGATGTATTAAACAATCTTATTTTAACGTTCCATAGGTGATTATAAAAACGTTTGAGGGCTTCTTTAAGGATTGCTGCACCCGTTAAGTACTACTCTACCGGGGGGGAGGTGGTATAAGTTAAGCATGCATTTTTTCCTCAACAATTAGTTTCTTTTTGGAAGTTATTTTATGTTATCTGGAAAAGTTATATTAGAAGCTGGAAAGCATGTCTCGGTTTTAGAATCTAACAGTGAGGTAACTATTGCTTCCTCAAGTTGCAAAATCGTCGAATTTTAAGTTTTCTAAAATAGGATATTCAAAAGTCGGTAGATTATCATCTAAGCATTTCGTAGAGGTTGCATTGGTAAATTTTTTAGGCAAACAATTTGAATGTGTGGGAACCTTCTCCATTTCGAGCAAAATAGGGTTGTGGTCGGAATAAAGTTCGTGCAGAACGGAGAGTGAAGCATGAAAAGATATATTTTTAAATATCATTATGTCAAGCACATGCTCTTGTGTTTAAAGTCGATAAGTGTGTAGGTTCTCCTGGCCCCAAAGACGATGGTTCCATTTTTGTGCGACCCAGTCATCGAGGATCAAGTCATTTAAATTGACTAGTTTATTATTACAATGTAAATGCTAACATTTAAGATCACCTCTCAACAGTGTCGGTTCTGGCCCAATTGCATTGTCTAGATCTATCTGATGTAGAGCCATAGCTGGAGATTTACAAGCTGAAACAATTTTAATACAGCCATGGTTCTGCAGGTGTAGCCATATACCAATAGCTTCAAGGGTCTTGGTTTCAAATTCAATTAATGAGTGGAGGATGCGTCTGCTATTAAATAATGCTATGCCCCCTCAACTACCATTTTTACAGTCATTCCTGTATACAATATAATTGGGTATAAAAAATCCGTTTCTCTCCTTAATATGAGTTTCCGAGATTAAAGTATATTAATACTTAGACGCGTTATTAACTCGCATAATTCATCTTTCTTTTGGCGAACTCCATTGGCATTCCAGGATTATATAACCTAAGGTTTTTAATAATTTGCCATTCATTGCTGGCAATTATGGTTATTAAAAGATCAATACTGGCTTTAGCGATTTGAGCGCTGGTAACTTCTGATCAGTGAAGACATAACCTGACTAACATAAGTTTTGCAGATTATTCTTAGAAGTAGGAATAATATTAAATTTGTCTGAGAGTACTGCGCGGTTGAGCGCCTTGGTGAAATTAGCTCGTCCACAACTTTAGTAGAACTGTATTTAAATATCCTCTTCCTAAGAGGCGCATTCTTAGGATAAATAATATATAGACACGGTAATTGGCGATGTGTTGCTCACCACGCATGTAGGGGCCGGGTCTCTTTCCTTTTGCAAAGCTTGGTGTCATGAAACTCGCCACATTTTAAACATCTATACATTGAAGCGCAAATTGATCAGTGCGACTGTATAATTGGCACCGAAAGCACTGACCAATTCTTCCCGTCTTCCTAAAGGTCCTACAGTAACGGTGGTATATTCTATATTTCTTGTAGCGTAAATCCTTTTCGAATCTGGGTTAGGGATTAACAAATAAAGAAGGCAACGGGGCCGCTTTTTATCATATTTTCACAATCTAGTTACTTCGCTCGGGTAGCATCCTCGAAGTTTAAGTACTTTTCTGATAACTTCAAGGTCCAATTCAATCAAGACACACGAATTATAACTTTAGGTTCATTTCGGAGGGTAGGCGATAGGTGATGTGTTCTAGCCCTTAAAGTTTAAGTAACCTTACCAACAATCGAATTTCCTTTTCCGAGGACGGCCAAACTCTAATTCCTTGAGCTACACCTTTTGCAAGAAAATAGGGAACATCGTTTTCTTTAATTAGATTTGATAAAAATTGCCATACACTTATATTACTTATAGTGTTAGGAGGTATTTTAGCACTTCCCTTATCATTACTAGTATTTATAGTATTATTATGTAGTGAAGACTATTGTTAATATTAGTATTACGGTTTTTGTAACTACTACTTCCAATATCACCACTATTACTGTCGTTAAATATGTTTATACTATTTTCTTTAATCTATTAATTATGCTATGTTGTTGTTATTATTATTTACACTAGTATTAGGCAAAGGCTTGGTAGGTACACAATCATCTGTAATAGTGTCGGGCACATTAATATCCTATTCAATATATTTCTTATGATTCTGTGACTCGTTAAGAAGTTGGAGAGAAGCGTAGGTAATAGATCCAAGTTCTTTGGCACTTAACTTTTCTAAAGGCTTTTGGAGTGCTGTAGAAGCAGTTCACCGAAATTTCTTTTTCATACTCAGATAATTTAGCTTCATAGAGTTGAGTTCTTTGTTTAAAATTTCGTTAATAAGTATAAGTGGTTTAAATCTCTTGTGGATTGGAATCCGTAGGAAAGTAACTTTGAACAGTTGACATTAGATCTAGCTAAAGTAGAGAAAATAAATATAAATATAAATTCTGGAAATATAAATGTAAACTACTATGTATGTATGTATAAATGTATTTCTAATATATATGTAAGTAACCAAAGTTTTTTTTTAAGGCAAATTCGTAGTAAAAAGTAGAGGTGCACAGGCCACTTTCAAAAACCAATGAATACCAAGTCGAGCAGTTAAGTACTGAGACTATTGATTTAATGGTACTCAGTTCATAACTTATTTGCTCTATAAAGACGCAGGCGCCGCAAACCAAAATAGAGTTCGCGCTGCGCCGCTTGGGGTAGATCGTAAACATTAAATAACCCGAACCCTCGCAGAGTACAGCGCAACAGCGTTGGAAAAAAAAAATTTCATGGCGTAGGCGTACTGCTGGAGTTCGGAAGCCAAGCACTTTGCCACTTTTACTCGCTACATAACTGAATGAGGAATTTATATTACTTAAGTAATAATGACGTAATATTTAAGTTAATATGAAAACCTTCTTAAACTTCCCGTTAACATAGACTATCCACATTACTTTTACAAAGTTATTCCACTAGTGAGCAAACACTGTGTTACCATGTCCGCCCGGTTGGCCGTAGCTATTTGTTAATGCTGTATCTCAAGTAGATATGCGCTTACGGCACGTAAGCTTACATGTTAACAAGTTAATTTCCTTTCAACTTTTGAGAAATTACAGTTTTTTACTTCTCTTCATGGTTTTTTGTAGAATTTACAACAGCTTCATAAAAACAAAATTATTATATGAAAGTTTAAAAAGTTTTTATTGTTCAAGTGTATGTAAAACAAATGGGGTTGATATAAATCTCTGTAACAGTTGGAATAGAGAAACTTGGAGAAATAAGAAATTAACGCATCAACCCTTATATGCGTTATATTCTATTTTTTATATATATACTATTTATTTTTAATTTTTTTTAAAGTTATATAAACTGCTAATCATTTTTAAAGTGATACTAATGAAGTAAACTCAATATTAAACTCTATATCCCGCTTACCTTCACTCGTCTATGAGGAGGAAGTTGATCGTCTAAAACACTTTTTAGCAAAAGCCACCGAAGGAAAAAAGTAAATCCTACCATTCTAGAAGAGAAAAAGAACTTGATTTTTTTTTTTACTTGTTAGTTTTATTTTACAAGCTGGGGAGTGCGCTGAGCTTTTTTCACACTGCAGTCAAAGTGAAATAGAAAAAAAAGTTTTTTTTTCTTCTCTTTAACAGTTTTGAAAGTTGTTTTTTTTTAATTTTTATAAAGCTTAAGTTGCTATATGAAATGTGTTGTAAAATAACGTTCAACTCTAAACTACCTGTAATCTGTATAGGCAGAATAGCTGGCCAGGTTCTCTTATTATATTTCGCTATATAATTTAGCTCAACAAATATATTGAAAAGTTTGCAAAACCGAGAAGTTCAACTTATGAAAAAGTTAATGGAAAACTTATTGAAACATACAAGTTATTAATCACCTTTACTATTATATTTTTTCCTCTTCGAACTAATAATTGAAAGGGGTGAGTTAATAAACGGACAAGATCCAAACGCTCGGGCACCCGATCCAAATCGGCTAATATTGTATATTGATGTTTAATCTATTATAAACTATAAAAATTTTTGCTTAATATTTTTAATATTTCATTGACTTTTATTATTATTATAGCTAAGTTTTGAGTTATATTATAACATTTATAAATTTATAATATTTTAAATGATTTAGTTATAAATCCATTTTTTATGAATCTCTATTTTATGGGCTATACCAATGAAGGAACTCTTAAAACTAAACAGAAATTAAAAACTTTACCATCTATATTGATCAAAGTCGTGTATAAAAAATTTCGTTTTCTACTAGTCGTACATAAAGCATTTTAAAAAATATATCAATAATAAATAGGTTTCTAAAAACTTCATAATTTATAAAGATCTGCTTGATATTCAAAATTTTTTTATTTATGCACTTTACCAACTTAAAATTTTTGTAATAGTTTTCGTTATAGAGTTGTGCTATAAGATTTTTTTAGCTGACAACCATTTCCTTCACTTTGCAAAATTAATTGAACTAAAATAAAACTTTAAAATGATTATAATTTTTTTCTAAACTTTAAGAGTGTTAAAAAGAAATTTGTTAAGGAATTACAATCTGATAAATAGTTTATTTAAAGAAAGTAGAACTAAAAAGTTTTAAGAAGCTCAGTTGGAAATTATATTTTATAGACTAAATATTAGCTAAAAACTTTACGTAACGCTCAATAATTATAGTGTGCTTTCTTAATTTTTCAGTGTTTTTTTTATATAACTGTGCTTTTCTATTTTTAAAAAAACATTAAAAAATTTCTTTAATCTATAAGATTTTGAAAATTTGTATAAATTCGCGTCCACGGGGGCTTTTATGTGTTATAAAACCGCCTTTTTTTATTCATAGCTTTGTTAAATTAAATTTATACTAATGTTATTATTAATTTTATTTATATTATTCGTGTTCTTATTAAGTCACGTGAATCATTATAAACGTATGAATAAACTTTTTTTTCAAGAATAAAATTTTAAATTTAGTTGAGTTCAAGGCAACTAGGAAATTTATTATAAAATAAATATATATGAAAAAATTTAGATTAAAAAAAAATTTAAAAAAATATTGTGGATTTTAAATACCAAATATTTTTTAGATGGGGAATAAGTTGAAATTGTAATTTTTTTGATTAAATAATTATAAAGTTACCATTATTGCGAGTTTTCTTACATTTAGAAAGTATACATTTCTTTTAATATGTCTATATTTCATTAAAAAAAAATTAAACTGAGGGAATTATTTTCAAGTCATGACTCTTTTTACATAATTCCGGTTTTTTTTAAAGAAAATTTTGTGGGGAATAATAGATTAAGTTTTTTTTTATGTAGAATATATTTATAGTAGTCATAAATATACTTTGAATAAGAATGTTCTTAAAAATCATCATAAAGATAATCCGAGAAAAATTAATAAAAAATTAATAATTTGGTTAAAAATTAAACTTTCTTTTTCTAATAATTCTTTTTCTAAACTTTTGTAATTTTTTTAGAGGCTACTGGAATTCTGCTGCAGCTCTAAACTATATAAGATCCTTTTTGTCTGCGAACTATTCAAGTAACTGTTTAGCTTTTTGCCTTTAATTTTTACTAAGACTATTATATTTTCTATACACCAGAATTAGTCATGTCCACTCATTATGAGGTATTAGAAAAGTAAAGAATTCACTAAAGTTTTTGTAAAAAACTACTTTTTTATGAAAAATTTGCAACACTAAATTAAAACAACTTTTTATGTTTTTCTACTCATTTGAAGTTTTGTAAATAAATTATTACTGCTTTTACAATGTTATTATCTGTGAATTTATTTGATATAATATTAACTTTTTATTATAAATAATAAAAAACTTTTCTTTTATATTTTTCATTTTACATTGAAAATTTTTGTATTAACAATTTTTATTATGATTTAATGTAAATTTTGAAAACTTATTGTTGTATTAAATTTACTTCTTTATTTTTATATATTATTTTTATTTCATATTTTCAACTTTTTTTTTAAACTTTTGGATTTTTATTTATTTTTTTCTCTTTATTATAAGGAATTTGTTCCTGTGGAGTTTTTCACCTCTCACGAAGGTAACTATTAGAAAAGTTTTATTTTTTTTATTTTTCAAAGTATATAAGCCTTTTAAATATCTAATAAATTACTTTTTATTTCATTTTTTATTTAAAAAAAATTCTTAATATACCTTTTTATTTATCAATTCAGTAAATTTTAATTAATAAAAAAGTAAATAAGTAATTATTTTTTTTGACTAATAATTTTATACCAAACATTATATATTATATATTTATTTTTTTATGAATTTAATGTATATTATTTATTAGTAATTATACTAAAAAAACCTTAATGTTTTTATTATTAAAATAAAATTCAGAGTTTTTCCTATGTATATTTTTATCATTCAACTTTGCCTAAATAAATTTAATATAAATAACAAAAAAAATTGAATATGAAAAAAAAACATTTTCATTTTAGAAAACTTTTTTATTTTTCCTGCATTATACACCAGTTAAGTTTTGTTTCACTTATAAATTATATATTCATATTTGTAATATTTTATTTTAACTTTAAAAAATGTGTTTCAATTTTTTTTCTAAAACTGGATTTTTTTTTTAATTTTAAATTTAGTAATTAAAAATTTACATTAAATAGTATACAGCTATCTATAAGCTCCATCAAATAAAGTAAAAATTGAAATAAAAGCAAATTTTTTTAATAAATAATAAAATGAAAAAAAGATATATTTTTCATTTATAAAAGTTTTCATTTATAGTTTATAATAATAATAGCTCAGTGAAACTCGAGGGCTAAATGTTCTATTCATATGGGATCTTGCGCACAATTCTTTTTTTTTTTTTTCAAGTTTTCGCTTTGGGTCTAGTTCTTCCAGGAGTTTTGAATACTGTGTTTTCAGTCTTTGTTAGCTCCATATTATAATGTTTTAAATTCTATAGTATTCCTTATACTCCTTTATATAATTTATAGTTACAATATATATTAGTTTTGAGGCTTAAGACTAGTAAAATTAACTCCTTGAAGATGTAAAAAAAAATTGAAATTTATAATTATTTTATAAAATATTAATCAGATTATGTTTGCTACTAAATTAGTAATCCATAAGTAATTTGTGCGAACTATAAATTGATAATTATTAATTTTAATTTAAGTATTTCCTGTTTAATTTTTTAGAATTAAGGATATAATTAGTTTTTTATTATTTTATTTTATATTTAAGTTTAGTGAAAAGTTTTTTATTCTAATTATTATTTAAAATAATTTATGTTTTCTTATAAAAAAACTTTTTTATATTGTGAAATAATTTTAATTTTTATAATACTTAATAAGAATACTATTGTTATTATAGTAATCCATTATTCTATCATCTACACATTTGATCTATTTACATTTTTATAAATTTAGTTTTTAATTTTATAATAATAATTATAATATAATAAAATAATATAAATAAACATTAAATATTACAAAGTAAATAATTACAAAGTAAATAAGATTAATTTCTAAAAAATATATTAAATTTTTAAAGAAAATATAAATACTATAATAAAAATTCTACCAAATAAAAGTGTTAAATACATTTATTAAGTTATCATAATCATGTTAGCTTTAATGCGTAGTTTCTGAGTTAACTGGAATAAAAATTTATATAAATTTTTTTATGATAACGATTCTAAAGATATTAAATAATAATATAAACAATTTACTTATTAATATTGGAAAACTCAAAAAGTTTCCATTTACATTATTTTTATTATTTTGGTAAAGAAATTTATCATTGTATATCACCTTTAAATATGCGTAAAGTAACTCGTAAATAATTAATAAATTTTTAGTAAGAAATATTTAAATAATAATAATTTTTTTTATTTTATTTACTCTATAAAATTTATTTTATAATAATTTCAATAAGCAGCGTTACAACTTATAAACTTTTTAAATATAAAAATAATTTTTGTTATAATATTTTAAAAAAAATATATATGTATATATAAATATTATATTTTAAAACTAAAATTACTAATTTGTATTAGTAGAACGTTTAAAATGCTTGCAAAGAAGAAAAGTTTCCTTACCAACAACTTTATTTAGATATATTATGCACGTTATAATTATTTTAAAAGTTTAATAAATTATATTATTCTATTAAATATTTGTTTATTATTATTAATTTTGTGTTGTATTAAAGTATTAAGTAACCTTTAAATATTATAAAGAATATTCGCTATAAAATGATTTAATACTAATTATATAAGCAAAAGCTTATTGTGTAGATATTTTCTAATTAAAAAAATTAGCAAAAATTTGCAGACTTTATGAAAGAATTATTAATAATTTATAATAAAAGCAATTAAAAAATTAAAAGTTCTAGAAATATTATTATAATATTTACTTAAACGTTTTGAAAATTTCAAGAAAAGTTATAAAGTTTAATAATAAAAAAGTTAGAGAATTGACTGTATTATTATTATTATAATATTATCTCTTTAAAAATTTTATAAAAGCTTAATACAAAAATAGAGTTTTAAAATACTTTAAAACCATTAAAAAAAAAATTTTAAAGTTTTTATTTCAGGTTTACATTTAAGCTATGAAGAAGCACTCACTAGGAAGGTAGAGAAAAGCGGTCTTTTTTATAATTTGGGTAAGATTATTAAAGTTTTGAGGATTTCTTTTCTTTTTTGTTTAAATTTATTTGTTATATAAATTTTTATAATGCTTAAAGAATTATATATACTTTTAAATTTAAACATTTTGTACTTTTACTTTACTTATATAAAGCAATATTAGCTTTTTCTATTAATATTAGTATCAATATTATTTTTTAATACTTCTGGATTTTTTATAATACAAGTATTTTTTAATAAAAAAAACTTGATATCACGAGTAATTCATGTTCTGCTAGGCGCTCATTTCTTGTGGATCGGCTATCGTACCACATGCAAAGAGGGTGCATTACATTTTTTTTACTTACTTTTTTTCTTTTAAATCTACTTCACTAGGAGCTCATGTGGAGTACTTCCGTGGAATAGCCAATCCGATCGGCATAAAAGTGGGGCCTGGCCTATCTGGGCAAGATTTAGTAGACCTTCTAAAAGTTTTAGATCCAGAGAAGATTCCCGGAAAAATTACGCTCATTACTCGATTCGGCGCACAGAAGGTGTTTTTTACTTTTAGATATTTTCATGAATTTTTATTAAAAAGTTCAATTATATTCTTTCACAGATATTATAATTTTTTGTTTGTTTCGATAAAGTTTCTTATATATAAGAAATTATAAACTTCTGACGCTTTACATTTGGCACTTTTTTATATTGTAATAGAATTCATTATTAAAAATAGTTTCTTTAAATTTTTGGAAGTTTTTCTTTTGTATTTTGCTTAATACTTTTTGTAATTTAAAAAGTAATTAATATTTTTTACTAAAAAGTTGTATTTCGCTGCCTTCATAGAAATCCAAATATTTATTATTTTATACAGATATATGATTGGTTGCCCGCCCACATTCGGGCAGTGCAAAAAGCCCGCCACAAGGTCGTATGGCTTTCCGACCCGATGTAGTTATTGTAAATAATATAATTATTATTAATATTTTTATTCTATTTCAGGCACGGAAATACTGAAATAAGTAAGAATTTTATCAAAAAAAGAAATTATGACAATATTTTATCGGTAACTTCTCAATATATTTTCAGTGAAGTAAAAAAAACTCCAAACTTATAAGGAACTGCAATCTGCTTTTAAAATACACAGAAATGAAGGACAAGAACTAAACGGCGTGCACTTGGAGCTTACTGGAGGCACTTATGATTATTATTATTATTATTATTATTATTATTATTATTATTATTATTATTATTATTATTATTATTATTATTATTATTATTATTATTATTATTATTATTATTATTATTATTATTATTATTATTATTATTATTATTATTACTATTATTATTACTATTATTACTATTATTATTATTAGCATTGTTATTATTATAAGCCTTATAACTATTTAATATTATTTTTTGTATAGACAATGTTACAGAATGCACAGGAGGACCTGATAATATAGTCGATAGTGAACTATTAAATAATTATACGACCGCCTGCGATCCTCGTTTGAACAAGTCACAAAGCTTAGAAATCGTTCGTCACGTGGCCCAGTACGTACTATATAACTATATTTATGAATGACTATATTTCAATATTTGTGTAATACTAATATTTATATTTTTTACTCTCCCAAGTAAATTCTTTTCCTTTCTCAATAGATTGTTGCGAGGGAAATCTTCCTGACTACGAAGTTTAAAAAAAAAACTTTTATTATGTTATAGACTTGAAATATAAACTTAACTTTACTTTTAGTTTATTGTTACGTATTATTTACTTTTTTATTGAAAAAAAAGTTTAACTTTTTGTAGACGACGCAGGGTTGCTAATAAAATCCAAATATACTCTGAAAGTTTGCTGATTAGAATATAACGCTACCCTTCAGCCACTTCTTATAACCTATATATTAATGCCAAGCACTATTTTGCGCATTTTTATAAAATTAAGGATGATTTTTTTAAATCCAGCGTAAATTCTCCTTTTTTAATTAAAATTTGTACTTTATTGGGGTTTATATATGGTTTCTCTACAGTATTAGTTAGCTTTTTCCTTTTTTTCCCCTCCTCTTCTCATATATTAGCACTTTGTACGCGTAGCTCGTACAATGTGAGGCAGAAAAGAATAGATTTTTTATTAATTAGTTTGTACCCACCTTTTAGCAGTGAAGAACGAGTGAAGGTGAGATATACATATCGCTTTTGAAAAAATAAGAGCTGGAGAGTATACCATATTTGCTTTAATTTATATTTCTAGCTCCTAGTGTACTTTATGTGAGATTATTACCGGATTTTCTATAAACTTCTGTGTAGATATAAAGTTTAGATGTTTCCTCATGTTCCAAACACGTACATTTTATTGCTTTTATTAGGAAATATTAACCAACTATTACTCGATCTTATGTTTTAAGCATAACTCATCTTTCCTTGCGTAGCTACCAACAGCAATTTCTTTGTGTCCGTTACAGTATTTATGTCCAATAAATTTTACTTATAATTTATTTAGTCCCGTAAATTTTTCTAAATTCTAATAGAAAACTGTTAACTGTGGGATTTCACGAAGCCTTTCTTCTAAGCGCTTATACCTATTATAATTTAAAAGGGGTTAAAATTTGCGTAGGAAGTGATCTATACTAATCGTAAATATTAATTTTAAAAACTAACATTTATATTACTCGCAAAATACACGCTCCAGCTCTTACCTTATAATATATGTTTAACATTAACCATACGTTATTTGTATGCCACTTTGCCCTCTTACTTAAGTAGTCTTTTCTCCCATCCAACCTAATCTTTCGTCCACTTGCTTTTTCTCCCAACCTCGTTTTAATTATTTAACTAATTTACATTTCTTTAACTAGTAACTTTTAAAAAATAAATTTTATTAAACGGCTTGCCTGCCTATGTTAATATTATTATTGATCCTTCGCACCAGTGGGGCTAAAAGCTGAATAGTTAGCATAATAACGAGTTACTGCTCCTATAAAATTCCAAACCTAAGAAGCTGTTATCTTGATAAGTAGACTATGTATAAACTTTTAACAAAGTTTAATCGACTTGGGGTAATGGTATAAAACGAAATGCTTTTTCTTCTGCTCTGCACTTTTTGAAGTGTCTCACGAGAGTCGAAATACTAGCTGTATAATTTATCTCTGCGATCATAGGTTTGAATATGTTATATCGATCCTATAGAGTTTGTATACGCTCTACACCTTTAGAACAATAATACTACAGTTTTAAACTTTTTACTATTACACAAGATTTGTTTTTTTAAAAATATACCAAGGATTTTTGTCGCAAGTAAATAAGTAAACTTTAAACACTTTTAATAGTAGTATTTTCTAAAATAAAAGGTGGCTATTGATCTATAACATCCTTAACTTTAGTGTTTAAGTTATCAGGCTGCGCTGTTCGTCATAACTGTTGGCAATCTATTATTTCTTCAGAAGAAATTTTTTTAAAGTTCACGTATCTCTTTATACCCGATAGCCTGTGCTTAAAAAAAATATGTATAGTTGACAATGTATCGAAAATTTTTTTAATTATAAGCTTATAGCTTATCTATAACTATTTTTAAATTATACAATACATAAATTTTTTTGTTCATTAATTTAGTGACCTCAACTTTTTTTGTAATTGCGCGCTTAAAAAAAATTATTATTTAAAAGTCTTTACTACTATTTTTTTTTAATAAGAATTTTTTTTTTAAAAGTGATGGTGTCCGTCTGCGCTGTAAGGCAAGATGTAAAACAACAAAGCCAGGTCTTTGCAAAAGCAAATATTAAATAATATTGCACTTAATAACTTTCTTATTACTGATTCAACAATTTTAGGTAGGCCTTGCCCCAAACAAAGTGCAATCTCTAAACTTGGTTAAAAATCTGGTTCGGACGACCGTAACTTTAATTTTTCAAGTGTAAATAATATATAAAGTTTGATAATGCTAAATATTTATCAAACGCAGGTTTCCTCCATAGCTTACTTAAGGTTTATATGAATCTTTTAAACGAATTCATTAAACTATAATTATAGTTCCTGCACTCTATTGTTATGAAAAAAACTATTAAAAAAAAAATTTTATAGAGATTTTTTAGAGAGAATACCTTTCAAGATAGGGATTTAGAAGGTTATTTCTTTGCCTGTACATTTACTTTTTACTAAGAACCGGAGCAAATAAGTAAACGTTTTTGAACTTCAGGACTAAACCTAAAAATGCTAAAGAAGGGAGTTAGTGAAGAGGCGAACACTTTAATGAATTGGTTATATTTCTAACAATTTTATATATATTTATTGATTGAATTATTTTTTTTCAGGATTGAGGAAGGGTATTTACTATTTTTCTAAAAAATCCTTATCAGACTAATTAATTTATATTTGAAATCAAAAAATTAATATATATCAGTTGCTTCGAAGCCTTAGAAAAACAATATGTACGCTTTCATTATATTTAATTCTTTTAGATCATAAAATCTTAAATATAAATAGCTTAGGATTCTAAAAATCGGCGTATTGACTTTTTTGTTCACGTTGGCTTTATTTAAACCTTATAACAAGAAAAGGATAAGTTTACAAAATATATATTTTTAAAAATTAATCTTTTCAATTACATATAACTTTTTACTTTGATTTCAACTCTACTTGAAGTTTTGTTATACCACTTGTAATAAAAAATAATTTAATTTTACGTTTTCAAAAAATTTTGAAAGTAAATAAACCGAATGATATTAATATAAACCCTATAACCTAAAATAATCTTAATTTTAAATAGATTGTCGAAAATCCAGAACTTCCAGAGCATATGGTGGAGTCCTACACCTTCAAGTTTGAATATAACCGAGAAGATCATGACAATATGACTAATTTTTCCGTGTGCCAAAACGATAATGAAAACCCTTTTTTCAGTAAAAATTTCAGTAAGGAGGAAGTAAGTTTGTTTATGCATTGGTTACTTTTAATGTTTCATTTTTTACTAAAAGGCATCTACAGAATTTAAATATAATTACTGTGTTTTTACCTTTAAAAGAAAGATATTTTTTATAATTTAATTATAATAATTATTTTTCTTTATTTTGTAATAAAAGCTTTTGTAAAATGTTTATTAACTCCCTATGAATTTATATTTAATAACAAAAAAAAATTAAAAAATTAATTTGATAATTATAGTTTATTAGTTACTTGAAAGTACTATAGCTTGCTCTCTTCTAGTTTCCCACATTGTTAAGTTATAAAACTATTTATTAAAAAAATAAAAATTTTCAAAAGCTTTCCTATAACGTAAAAAAAAAGTACTTATACTGAATATAAATAACTTTTAAGTACAACGTATTAATTAGTAACCACTAGTAACTTTATAATTAATAGCTCTTTTAATAAAGGTCAAACTTTCATAGACGGCTACAATTTGAAAACATATATGTGTCTTAAAAACTTTTAATTTTTTTATCACCCTTTAAGTACAGTAGAAAATTATCTAACCAAATAAATCAATGATATCAACGTTAAGTACGACTATTACTTCTAATTCAAGAGTAACTTTGTTTTTCCTTCACGGCTATAAAGATAAAATCCTCGACCATACAAATGCTGAGGTCGCTGTTAATGTTAAGCCAAACTCTTCCTCCCTTACCGAGTAATTCAGTAGAGCTTATATAGCTTATCGCAGTTCATAATATAGCTCTACGTTGCCTCAAATTTTATAATACTAATTTTTTATATATATTTAATAAAGTCAACCGATACTTGTCTATGTACTTATTTTATTACGACGAGTACACACCGAGGTGTATTTTTTATAATAATCATTTAACAAAAAAAATTAAATTTGTCATTTTAGTGACTACCAGCCAAAATACTTTAAGGATTGCCAGTTAACAACGAGCGCATTTGAAAAGCACGCGACAACCTTGAAGATTGGTGAAACTTATACCCCAAACTTTGGGTATCTCTCTTTGCCCATTTTTATAATATTTTAATAAATATTACATCTTCTTTCAAGGGTGAAACTTCGTTATGAAACAGGTCTATCAAATAAAAGTTGTACTTTCCTATTCTTTTTCCCTTTTAATTATTATAAATAAGACTATCAAACGGATAGCCCAAAGGATAGGGAATCTTTAGAAAGATTGAACAAAAAGGCTTTTGGAAACACCTCTGGTTTTTTTTTCTCATAAAACTTTCAGTGCTTTTTACTGATAATCTAGCAAAGAAATATCTTCCATTACCCGAGAAACAGAAGAGCTATCTTTTGTCGATAACGTAATGAATAAACCAAAAAAAAGTGCAGAGAATGTTTCTTCCCCGGAACCCTTAAGATTTAACAAATCCGCAAGACTTGCGGATTGTATATGCAAGACAACATCGGTATTTCTTTATGTTGCTTAAAGTCCTTAAAAAAAAGAAATTTAATTTTTAATTAAACTATGAAGCTCAGCGCGTCATGTAAATATTCTCACACAGCGCAGTCAACTTTGATAACTATATAATAGCAATAGTTATTATACTTGCTCTTAAAAAGTTGCGTTATTAATAACGTTTAAAAAAATTATATTTCTATAAAAGTTTTAGGGTTTATAAATTAATAAGTGAACAAGTAAAACTTTAAAAGTAAAATAAGGATATTATAACTTAGTAAACTATACCATATGGGAACAATTTCACTTTAATTGTTAAGTCACGAATAGTTCCATTCTTCTTATAGAAATAAAAGGTAAGATTAAGTCGCCCCGACCTCATACAAGTGGCAAACTACAATGAGCTTGTCAAAAAGCTACCTTTTGAAGATTATATATTAAAATGTAACGAAGCAGCCAAAGTAAAAAGCCTTAATTGCTAAGTAAAAACTAAGAACACTCACACTCAACTTTTCGGCTCAAATTTAAAACACCTTTAGCATTATTAGACACATAGACATAATATCATTCCCCGCTGAGATTGAAATTAGCATACAACTCAAGATAACATAAACTTTAATAAAGTGCGACGGGATAATGCTAGAATGTAAAGTTTGCAAAGTTCTTCAACATCCTGTTTGCTTGGGATTTACGGAAAATAGCATTCCCAATGGTACAAAGTCATAATTATTAGTGAGAATGTAAATAAATATATCTTTTGACAGAATATTCCTGCCTCCGGTGCACTGGTTCTAGGTATTTTTCAGTTTACTAGCGTTAAAGAACTTGTTCAATAAGTAAAACAAACAAAAGCGATGAGACGTCGCCCGTCTCTCATAGAGCGGAGGCCATATTTAAAAGAAGCCTTTTAATATTGAAAACTTGGAAAAATTCTTTTATAACAACAAACGAACTCAAGGAAGCTTTAGGGGGTGTTCGATTGTCCGTGGCTGCTGGGCTTGCAAGCAAATTAACCTCAAGCGGACTTCTTACTAAAAAAAATAAAACATTATTTACTATTGACATTGGAAGATTACTAACGCACTCCCAAATCTTATTGAAAAGAAATTTTCCAAGGCCCAAGGGATCACCAATTCATCCCAGTCAGATTTTCAAACGGGAGAAAGGTTATTAAGGTAGATACGTGGAAATATGAAGTCATTTTTCGTAAATATTTAATTACGATAATTTTTGCATTAAACTTTTAAACACTTAAGAGACGGTCAAAAGGTAGCCTGAATATTTTTTCTAACCATAGAAATAAATCCCCACCAAGTTGCCCCTCAAGTCAAATGAGTTTTATAAAACAGGGAAGCACGGGCGGCTCATCATGCAACAAAACTTCAAATAAGGCTTGCACTTCATGATATAATTGAAGTTATAATTTAATTTAACAGCGTTTTTATATAAATCCAGTTAAACTTTTGCAATTCTCAACAAGCACTTGAGCCAAAAATGGTAGAGTCAGACAGCGGAAGCGAAAAGACGGAGGATGAATTATGGTTGGGGAAAAGAAAAACTATGAAATATGCAGAACCTAAAATCCCAAAAAACCTAAAGTTAAGCGTCACTGAGAATTATTTAACGGTGTGATTTCAACAAGCAAAACAGTTAAAAAAATCATAAAGCCACACTGTCTGGGCTGTATGTTATAGAAATAAAATTATAACTACCAAAATATATAAATATATTATTTATTAACTACTAAATGCCACTGCAACCGTATATTAAGTATTAAGAAAGAATTTTAGAAACAACGCCGGTGCCGACGGTCAAATTTCCCTCACGCAATGTGAAACGGCTTCCCGCCTCCATGGGTAAAGGCAGGTGAAGAGAAATTTTTAACGTTGAATTGTCACCGGGCATAACCATTTCCTTTCCTGATTAATAAATAAGAACCCTAGTTTAAATTTTTTACTAAACACTAAAAAGAATAGATAATGTACCCTGCAGTAAATTAATAATGCATGGAGTGTTGGCAGTCCTAACAAAGAGTTGGGGGCTTCAAAAAAAAAGAGTGGAGGTCCATAAACACAATAGTAATAACAAAAGACAATAGCACGACAATTAACCTATATCTGCTGACAAAGGGAGTGTGACGTCCGCCTTCCTCTTTAGTCATAATATACGTCTCAGCCTCGAATTCTTTGATTTGCTTCATGGTGCCCGGTGCACAAACAATCTATGAATAGTGAACCAAATTTAGTTCTTTTAAGATACGCTCATGCTATATAAAAACCATCCCCCTTCTGATATCTTCATTTTTAATTCCTCGAAGAAGGCAGCCCACATTATCACCCGCTTGTGCTTCATTCAAAGTTTGGTGAAACATTTCTAAACCCACGGCGTTCGACTTGAAATCATGACCAAAGCCGAGTATCTGCACTTCTTCGCCCTTGCGTACAATAATCCAAAACTTTTCTCAAAAACTCAGCTATTATTATGTTATCACCATCTTTAAAGTACCACGCTCAATCTTTCCGGTAGCCACAGTTCCTCTGCCAGCAATGCTTACAACCTAAAAAATATCAGATTAATAAAAAAAATTACGCTAGTTACAAAGCCATGTGCTCGAAAGTAACTAGAATTTTTGAAAAAAAGAAAGAAGTGAGGTATAGCTTCAATCTTTATAAGTTTTAATAAAGAAAAAAACAATAACTAACAATAACTATAACATAGAGTAAATAAGTATAATCATAAGAAGTTATCATAGCAAAAGGAACAAAATTATTCGGAACATAACCAAAATCCAATAAAACAAAGGGAATAGTTTTAAGCAAGGTCAGGCTACTAGTACTACTACTTTAGAACTATTAATAATTCAATATTAAAAGTTTCTAATAACATATGTAAAAAGTTAGATACGCTTTCAATAGACATATAAAAAGGCTTTTCGAAATCACGAATGGGAGTGACAATGTGGTTGTCTACCACATCCAATAACTTTTTTATAGCCTAAACAGAAGCAGAAGATATATGATAATAAAAAAATAAACCACAAAACACAATTTCATACATTCTCGCCTAATTCTGGATTTCTATCCTCCAAAGCGCAGAGGGCAGAGCCAAAAACAAATGGCGTTTTTTCACCATCAAACTCGTAATAGCTTAACAGCTCTCGAAGTTCAATTTCTATTATAAAAAATATATATAAATAAAAGAATATATAAAATACAATGTAAATATACCTATTAACTCTAGTATCTCTTTATCTTCAACGATATCCACTTTGTTAATAAACACAACAATATCCCTGATACCAACTTGTGAAGCCAGGAGAAGATGCTCTTTAGTTTGGGGCATCTGGCCATCCGTGCCTTTTAATAACAGTCAATTAAAAAAAGCTCTAATTTGTAAATGTAATAAGAAAACTTTATTAGAAGATTATATTTCTATTAAAATAACCAGCAACAACTAAAATGGCACCATCCATTTGCGCAGCGCCAGTTATCATATTTTTAATGTAATCCGCATGGCCTTACAAAAAAAATATTTTCTTTATAAAGTTAAACTTCATAATAATAAAATTTAAAATTCCAAGATGACTTTTTATTGATATATTACATTTTTTTAATTAAAGTTGGCTACTAGTAAAAGTTGCCTTAAAAATATTGTATAATTACCGGGACAATCGACGTGTGAGTAATGTCGTTTTTCAGTTTCGTATTCAATATGAGCTGCAGATATAGTAATACCGCGGGCCTAATATGAGAAGTTGAGTAAATTCCCAAAGGTGACCTAAACGAGATTTTATGTAGGACTTACTCTTTCTTCTGGAGCTTTATCAATATCACCGTAACTCTTATAAGAGGCAAGGTTAGACTTGGATAAAATCTTCGTAATGGCAGCCGTCAAGGAGGTCTTACCGTGATCAACGTGTCCAATGGTCCCAATATTTACGTGAGGCTGCAAAGATTATTAGCATAATATTTGGAAGTAAAAAAAAGTTGTATAATTGTAACCTTATTGCGAATGAATGTGGCATATGTTCTATAAGACAATCCAACAAAGTTATAGTAGCGAGCTCGGAACAAAACTGAGATCTTAGTCAGTTACATCGTTAATAAATATAAAATCTTATAAATAAAAAAGTAAAGTTCAACAGAATTTTATAAATACTTTGTTCGTTCGAAGAATGCTTTGAAATACTCGCATCAGAATGAACTTGAAAAATTTATATGATTCATAAATTAGTTAATCAATAGTAATAAAGAATAAAATAGTATACAGATACAAGGTTCTAAATTTATAACACTTATATAAAAACTTTTATTCTATACTATTAAGCAACCAAAAACGTACAATTCCGTAATTTATATAATTTTGTAACTAAAAAGTTCCTTTAGAAAAAATAAAACTAACGATAACAGGGTCTCCTAAACTTACATTTTTAGTGGTAAGTAAGCATAACAAAATTAAATGTTACTAAGTAAACGGAATATAAGCTGATAAAATCGAACTTATAGGAAAGAAGACAGCAACTTCTGAAATATATAGCCACCGCGGTACATGTACAAATAACATGTATAGCTCACATGACTGGTAATCACAATAGGAAAACACTCCATCGTTTGAAATTACGCAACAGTTTTACCGTTATCTTTAAATTCAGAGCCTATAATGCGGTTGTTAATTCTGCAATGTTACTTAACCGACTAAACTAGTAAATTAGTAGAATTACATGACATAGTTAGTATTTAAAGTATGAAAATAACTTTACAAATTCCTTCTAGATATTAGGTAGATGAGAAACAGAAAAATACATTAAAAAAAGTTGTTACTCCCCTCTTACACTTTATATATGATCATCAATTATTAGCAAGTGCTAATAAGTCAGAGTAACTGTTTAAGAAATAAGGTAGCCCTCTACGTCTTCAAAATATTAAAAAAGTTTATATTTGAAGATAGTAAAAAAATTACAAAATTTTTTACAGCAACAAGGAAAACGATGAGACTGTTGGCGTTTACTAATTGAAATGGACCTGGGTACAAAATTTTTGTTAGACAAGTCAATATACTAGCTTAACTTATTTTATTTACTAAATTACCCTTGCGACCTTTAATAAGGCTTTAGAACAATTTTAATAAATCATTGAATTTGCACCAGATGAATATAAAATTTTGTTATGGTATAATAAAATAAAGCCTTTTTAAGAAGATTAGACTAACTGCATATATTCTGTTTAATTCCCAGCACGCCAAAAGTGGATGCCCTTATATTGTATCACCTCTAAGCAAGGAGAAGGCTACTTTACAGCTCAAAACATTTAATGTGTTTATATTAACAGAAATATTATTTTACATTATCATAATTATTACTATTTATATTCACTCTACTAATACCACGATTCTTACAATTGGCAACTGCGGTGAAATATGGTGTAAAAACCCTCGGGCTAACTAAATTGTTATAATGTGGTACTACAAAACCTTAATTTAAGATAGCGTAAAAATTAATGGATTTATAAATTTAAACGTACTGCCTACGAACATATAAAATCGATTAATAATAGGTGCTCAGTTGAATTTGGTAACATGCGCTTAACGCAGGCTTATTTCTTATATTATTACAAACTGTATAACAAATTAAAAGAAAAGTTTTTTGTTAGAAGTTAATTTATGTTTGCTCCCAAAAGGAAGAAAGAGGCTTTTTAGTAATCTTATCTTTTTTATATTAAATTTATTAAGCACTACGGTCTAGCACGTTATCTGTTAAATTGAGTTAGTAGGTCTTGCGCGCCTTTTAACGCTCCATTCTACAATTTAAGCACTGTGTGCTACTAGGAAGTCAGTTTGTTTGAGAGTTTTAAAAAAATCTTTACGAATTTTAGTTTTACTAAAAACATTGGAACTCGTCCAGCTACTGTTTGTAAACACCCCTTAAACAGGGCTGTACTATGGTGGTAATTTTTGAATTTGTTTACTTCAAAAAGAATCCTTTTGATTCCATATATAAAACGAGAAACATACTGCATCTGGCGAAGGCCCTTAAAAGGTTAAAAAGTTATAATGTAGACATCATGGGCATAGAGAGAGAGTTTTAAAATTATAAAATCAATTTATACTTCAACAAAGATTGGAGTAGAATATGAGGTGTCAGAAAAACTAAGTACGTAAAGAGAAGGGAAAGAAAAAAAAATATTTTTTTAAATTCTTGTTTTTAAGAAAAGGTATTGAATATATATAAAGCTGTGGTTTACATACCTTTTTAACAAAAAATAAGGTGAGAGTAAAAAAATTCTATGGAAGTTACTCTATAGATATCACTACAAATATGTATAAAAGGAATAGTAAAATATACTTTCTTAATCCCATATTAAGAAGAAAAGAATTGTATGCGTTGATTGCCATTTTTGTTAACTTTCTAATTATAAATATTTACCATAAATACTCTAGTAACTAGTTAAATCGCTTCTAGGTTAAAATTCACATATATTAAATTGATCACTCGATCGAACAATAAAACAAACAGTTCTCAAAAATATATTTAAAATTGTTTTGTGCAAAAAAAAGGGATTGTATTTCTTAATTTAAATATAAGTAGTAACGATTAGATTTTTTAAAAAAAAGGTTAAAGGCGAAAATCTGAGCCCTAACAAAAAAAATTTATAACATTAGTTTATTAATAATTTTTATTTGGGCTATGTGTCCGCATAAACGCTCCAGACGCTGATCGTTTTATCTCGAGACCCGCAGGCCATAGTCCATGCTAAAGTAGAAATAGCGAGTAATTAATAGTATGAAGCATAAATAATATATATAACCTTTAATATATATAAGAATATTAATTAAAAAATTTAAAAAAAAAAGTAAAATTACAAATCCGGGTCTGTGGTTAAATTTTTTTTAAAAAAATTTGTTAATAACTATATTTTACAATTTATATTAAAAAATACACGAGAAAAATTGTTTTCTTTATGTATTATAAAAGATAAACATTATTGGAAACACAATGGTTTACCATAAAAACAAAACGATTTTGGCGCGAACAAGGGCAGCGCAGTTTTCATCATGATGCCCAATCAGCACGCATATAAAGCGATATTAATGACTATTGGCCCGAACTTAATATAAAACATCGCTAGAGTATAACTCACTACTGCCTTATTTTTATAGTAAAATTTAAGCATAACACTATTGGCCTCCTTAAGAAAGATCTTATAGAAGACTAACCCTCACTATAATATAAGAAAAAGGGCCCCTCATTGAATTGCATCCGTTAAATATAGTAAAAACAGGATTTCTTTAAATAAAGAAGTTTAATTGACTGAAAACAAAAATGTTGCAGAAACGACATAAAAGTTGTTAAAAAAAGAATTTTTTATTGAGTGAATAAATAGTAGCCCACGTCGATTTGAACTATTCTGATTGGCCCTGGCAATATCGATGGAAGTTACGGCGCGCTCGTGGCGGGAAAGAACACACAAAGGCTTCATTTTTTTGAACCCAAACAATCTCACTCTGTACAAAATAATTATTTTGGTAAGGAATAAAGATATAATTTTAATGAAAAAATTAACTAATAGCTTGAATATATGGGGGGTGAGTAATATTATGAAAAGTAACAAAAAATTTGGCCTATCATTGCAACAACCAATTTTAGTACAAAATCTTTTATAAAAGTTGATCATTATAAAGAATATTAGTATTACTAAAGTCAAAGCGATGAGAACTGAGTTGTTTAGTATAGGGCTATAAAAATTATTTTTATTTTATTAATAAAGAAAATTAAAAGCGCTTATTAGAAAACCAGACCTTTTCGTATTAAGAAGAGTACAACAAAATATTTTTATAAATAATATGTTAAGAAACTCTTTCAAAATTTCAAAAGTTTTTTTGTGTTCTAAAGCTAAAACTTATTTTTATTATAATAACAAAGTAATCTATTAAACAGCTTGAATAGTAATAGCTTTTCCTAAACTTTATATTTTCGCGTATTTATTACCCATACAATAATGAGGCTATCTAGTAGATAATAAAAAACTTTACTTACTATAATTATAATACATAATTATCCCATTACTTTGCATAGATTACTATTTATCATATATTTATAAGTACTAATAACCTTTACTTACCATAAAATATATAAATAACCATATAAAAGTTACATGCCTTAATAAATAAATTATAGCATAAAACTGTTATTTTTATTTTCTAATATTAATATTATAAATCTGTGTTATGTTTATAGAAAGTTATATACTCTTCATGCATAACAAACTTTTTCTTTCAAGTATTAGTTATTTATAGTTTATTATTAGTATTTAGAAAGCAGTTTCCTTAACTCAATAATAATTTTTCATTAAAACTACGTTTTGTACTACTCAATATTATATATTATCACTTAATGGTTTGCTTTTTATTATTTAATATTATTTATAAAAAAGTTACTTTCCGTCGAAGCCGCCCACCGCAAAGTACTTCTGATCCTGGCGGATGCAAAGGCTACTCGCCCCAGAAGTTTTGAGTTGAACTTCGCCACGTGAGTCAAAAGAGTCAAACTTGGATTATAAAAAATAATAATAAAAATCCAAATACTACTTATTTATAACTATAATAACAAGTTTAGTTAAACCAAAAAGGAATCCACACTATTTTAAAATCGTGTGCTCGTAAATTCATTAAAACTCGATTAAAATTTTATTCACTAAAAAAAAAGGAATAAGGGGAAATGCATTTACATAACAATAATATAATGACGCATTTACCAATAACTTAAAACTTTATTCGTAAAAAAAATCCTAATAAAATATAGTAATATATAAAGAATATAATAAGAAAAAAAAGGGTACTAAATATTCGAGAAGAGAAGTTTAGCATTAAATAAATCAGTTTTTGAATATTAGCTACAAAAAATTTTAGTTTCTGCAATGAAATAGAGAAGAGCATTAAAAGAGTTGTAAAAACAAAATTCCTAAAAATGCGTACAGGCCTTATCACGCGCCCAATACTACTGAAAAAATAAAGTTTCAGAATTAATAAGTCTGAAACTTACATAATGCAAAGCTTACAGACTTATAAACAACCTCCAATAAAAAACAGTTTGCCAAAAAATTCATAATAATAATTGGTGATATACATTCTGATTCAAAGCAAATTTGACAACTTTCTTCCCACTGGCTCCGCTAAATCCAATACCATTGGCTGCTACATCCAAAGACATCACTATAAATATAGAATATAACTTGTACTAATATTATTATGATAAAGTTATACCGGGAGAATCGTAATAACGAGCTCGATGCAAAATTTTGCGAGTTTTCAAGCACCATAAAACTACCGAGCCGTCTTCATATCCCGCAAAGGCAAAGTGTTGAGCTCCCAAAGACAACAGTCTGCAAGCCATGCATATTCCTCAACAAAAAAATAAGCCAGTAAACTTTTTATAAACCAATGAAATATTACAACCAATAAATATAGTCATAAATAATTAAATATATTTTTATTAACTTTTTTTTTAAACATGACGTTGTGTCTATTATATAAACTTCTATACAGTAATATATTATATTATTATTATTATTATTATTATTATTATTATTATTATTATTATTATTATTATTATTATTATTATTATTATAAGCACATCAATATATTTAGCTAAGAATCAAAAGAGCTCCATGACATCGCAGTGCTCCCTGCAAATGCAGCGCATCCTTTAAATAGTGTTAAAAAACTTTTATTAGTTCTTAAAAGTCGTAGCTCAGCTTACTAATAATTTTCTCTATAAAATATAATAATTATTATAATTTTTTACTTTTATTATTATTTTGTTTTATTAATAGGAAAAAATAGTGAGAGCACGACCGTTTCATACTATAGTAAAGTAAGAAAAACATGCGAAAGTTAAATTCGCTTGTCAACTATATATTAATAGTAAAATAAAAGCAATACAGTCTATATAAAGTTGAAAAAGTTGGAGTATGCAAACTACAGAACAACCTTACCAGTCAAGCAAGAGATATGCAACAAATAAAGTCCCTTAAAAAGAAACACTCCAAAAATAAATAATTACAAGCTAACTACCTTTTTGCCAACCTTATAATAAACTTTTTTTAGTTAACCGTTTAAAAAATCTGTATTTTTGCTGATATTAATACTACAATAAAACTTCTCTTTAGTGAACATATACATTCGCGTTAGGAGGTACACAAATAGAGTGTAAAACTTTAAAAGAAAAGCAAAATGGAGGAAAATAAGCTTTAAAAAAAAAATCCTTTCGAAGTATTTTTTATATCACAATTTCAGTTTCTTTTGTCTTTAAAAAAAAAGGAAACTTTAAGTGTTGCCTAAAATAAAAAAATAATATATAAAAATTTAAGACCAAATTTTTCTTTTTCACTTTTTAAAATGCATAGAGGCTCGCGTTGTTGCAAATCCCACAACTGAAGCTGTAGAAAATAATAATTATTTAGTTTATAGGATATTAGAATAAGCAAATTATAAAAAAAATTTATAAAAAATATATTAAACATAATAATATATAAATAAGAAAGTAAAATTAATGATAATGTCCAACAAGTAAGTAGAGTAAAAAGTAGTTCACCACGAGCATAACAAATATTATAAAACTAATAAAAACCATATAAAAATAATAAAAGCAAAAATTATTCATAGAAATTCTTTTCTTATGCAGTTTGTAACAGAATATTTGTAGGTGCCGATTATAAAAACTATTTTCTACATATAATAATTAGTACCGAATGTGGGTTTTCTGCGGGAAGAATCATCCAGTTGTTTTCACTGTCTACATCCATTTCGCAAAAAGTATAACTTCCTAAAAAGAAATGTACACGTATTATATATCACAGATATTGAAATATTGAAAGAGGTTGGTCTACAAAAACTCTTTAGAGTTATTTCTTATAAGATTCTAATTTTTTTTTTTTCATAAATAAATTTGCATATAGAGATGAATGAAAAGTAATGAATATACTTTTCATCTTCTATAATATATATATTCGCTTTATTAGAATTTTATAGCCAAAGAGAGATGTATAAAACTTGGTTATTTCTAAAAAAATAGTTCCACGATTTCTATACTTACAACTAACTTTCACTAATATAAAAGCACAGTACATTGAAAAAAGACTTTTTTAATAGCCATTGTTTTTTGCTTGTGTAAAAACTGTACATTTTTGCTTCGTTTCTAAAAGAAGTTGCGTTAGTTTTGCATTTCCTTAAAATAAAAGTTTAGTAATAAAAACTAATAACTAATTTTTCACCAAGTTAAAGCAAAAGAATAGCTTTCCAACGAATTAATATTCTCTTCCATTTCTAATTACTTATAAAAAACGATCTTTTTCATATTTTCAAAGGAAATATATATCAAGAAATTTGTTTTCCATATAACTTTTTACTTGTACAAAAAACTCTCAAATTTAGTTAATTGGAAGTTCTAATAAAATAAAAGTCCCTAACCAGTAAGAGTTGCAAAAAGAAAACAGGATGAGTGTTAAAATATAAAATAAGCAAAACAGTGTGCAAGTTAACAGATATAATACGAAAAAGCATTATAAAAGTATTTCAATAAACATTTCTTGCTAAGAAAGTAAATAGAATAGAACCCAAAGTTGTCTTATCTACTCTGTAAGATGTGCTTAGATAAGCTTGCAACAAATATAATAAACAATAAAAGTTTGTAAAGTACGACGAATTGTTAAGCAAAAAAGAAGTTCTTAACTAATATATGAAAAAAAAATTTTAGTATGCAAACGAAGTGCTTTAAAATATTATAAACAAAAATGATTTTTCTGTAAAAATAGAGAAGGTGCCTTCACAATTTTCTTCGGATGTAATTTTTTTTATAAAAATATTTATAAATTATCCATTTTTTATTTATAATTCTAAAATAATGAATTTTATATATTTCTTATCATTAAATAAAAATTTTTATATTCTATTTCTGCAATTATTCACAAGCAAAACCATGCCCCTCAGTTTTTACTAATAAACGTAAATTTGCGGATTTTACTAGTTTTCTGCGGGAAGTTTATGTTAAACTTACTGAAAAAAATACTAGATATCGGCAAAAAAAAACTTAACGTATTTATAAATATGAAGAGTAGAGCTTCTGAGAATCAGTCGAAAGCTCGACATTAAGTGGCGGTAAGCATTACATATATATAATTATTATTATACTTTAACGTGTATTTTATTAGTTATTATTACTATAAATTCAAATTCTATATTTTATATATCCTATATTATTATTATTACTATTATTATAATAATCCATTTAGAACATAATCTTAAGTTCAGAGTTAAATCTTTCAGAAAATAGTAATAATTTTTAATTAACTTAAAAAGTTTAACTAAATACTAACTAAAAAAAAAATTCAGAACCGGCCTCGCGGCGGTATAAATTTTTCTTATTAAATTTATAACAAATAAATAGTTGCGACTACAGCACTACTTTATTTTTATAATAATAGATACACAAGGTAATATAAATAAAATAAAATTGCAAAAGAAAATATCAAAAGAGTTTGTAAAAATCTTTTTTTGATTTTTTTTAAAAATTAATTTGAAAAATTAGGACCTGCTTGAAAAGTACAAAGCGGTGAATTTATTTCAAAAGTGCTTGAAGTCAAATCCATTAACTTTACTTTTTGATCTCTTCCTTGACTTCAAAAATAATAAGAATTTTATATTAAGTAATAAAAAGATATAAATTATATTAACAAAAAAGACAGAAAATAATTTAAAAGTAAAAAGTAAATTCTTATAAAAAGCAGATTTCTAATAATCACAAACACAAGTAACTAGTAAAAAAGCAAATTAAAATCTAAAAAAATTATAAGTTTTATTATTTTCTTAATTAAAAAGCGATAACGGAAAAAAAAACTAAAAGATTTTATAGTTAAAACTAAATTATTAAAAAAAAGTCAATATTAAGAAAGTAGTTATATAGCAAAAAAAGTAATTTCAATATAAATATAATAAAATATCATAAGTAATAGGATACTATAAAGAAGTGAACATCTACACTTCCAGAATATAAAAAGGAAACAAAATATTACTACTGTTTAAAAATTGAAATTACGAAAGCTCTACTATAAAAAAAACCAAATAAGTAAAAACTTTTCTAAAACTAGAAAAAGTAGTTTATAAAAAAAAATTCAAAAGTTAGAAGTAAAGTTTTTAAGAAATATTTAAAATAAAATCCCAAGTACTGAAAAAAAATTTAGCATCTCTTAATAAAATAAAATAATTTAAATTGCGTTTAATTAATACTCAAGAGTTATAAAAGTTAAACAAAATCAAAAAAAAGTAGAAAACACCATCAGAACAGGCGATTTAAAAAAAAATTAAAAAAATTTTTTAAACAATAAAGTTTGAATCAAAGTAAACGAAAGATAATAAAAACTGTTGAACTTTTTATTGTAACTGGTATATAAACAATTCAGCTAAAATAATAACCGGTTTCTATAGTGTTTACAAAGGTAAATATATATTTATAAGTCAAATTTACCAGCAAATTATAAAATTAGTTAATTTTTCCATATAGACATTTAATATTAATAATTTAACTGTACGTCATACTTTTTAAAAGCTAAATTTTAAATTAAAAAAAACTTTTGAATTTAATGATATTGATTATAAAAAATTAAAGCTAATTATAAAAAGTAAATTCACTAACTCTTGAAAAATATAAAATTAAAATGATTAAAAGTAAAATAATGTAAATAAAATCGGCAGAATTGAAGGGCTTTATACTTTTTAATATAATAAATAGAAGGATAGCCAAATATAATTATTAAAAGAAAAATAAAAAAAGAAAATATTTATGTAAATTTTAATTAATAATTTAAAAAAAGGAAAAAAAAAATAGTCCACATAAAAAAAATTAGAGGTTACGTCAAAATTTGATTGTTCTTGAAATTCTTTACGGATATAATATGATCATGGAGTAAACTTGCGCGAGAAACAAGCCGACGACTTTCCAAAGACCATAAACTTAAATTTCCACCTACATCTCTATGTTTATGATTATTTAAATATATTAATAAATATAAAAAGTAAAAAAAAAAAGTCTATTAAAAGAGAGATCTATTTAAAGCATATGTTTCGCTTAGTAAAAAAATAACTAGTTTAATTATATACAAATCTCCTGGTACCAAGAATTTTATAAATATTTTATAAAGTTCTAAAAATTTAGAATAGAAGCTTTATAATTAAATAATAGTTAAATTTAAATATATATAATATAATATAATAGTACCAATTATAACGATCTTAGAAAAGAGTTATATAATAATACTAATAAAATTAATTCTCTGTTGTAAGTTTTCGTTTTAAGGAATTTGCTTTGCGAAGCTTAGTCTTTACAAAATATTAAAACAATAGCAAAAAATTTTAGTCTACGACAAAATATATTAAAAAAGCGTTAACGCAAAACTTGTCTTTTAAAGAGTTTATTTTTAGATAAAGAACTAATTTTTTCAGGTAAATTACAGTTTTAAATCTTGAATACTTAATAAACAATTTTACCCCACCACAAGGTGCGAAGTACCGCTTAAAAAACCAAGACTTGTTATTTCAAATCTATGACCTTATATTATAGTTAATAGATCAAAAACATGGACATTGACAAACTACCTCTAAGAATAAAGTCAGCATCTGGGCAAATATTGTTCCTGGGGTTCATAAAATTTGTTTACGTATTTAGCTCCTTTATATATATTATTTCTTGTATAAAATTATTATAATGGAAATTAAATCTTAGTAGCTTAACTTTATAAAAATTTATTATTAATAATTTTTATTAACAGAAATTCACGTCTGTTAACTGCAGCACAAATGACTTACTTAAGTTATTTACCTTACTACAAGCGCCTCTCTATAACTTTCAACTGCAAAGTGTACAAAATATAAGTCTGGAGGAATATTAATTTAAATAATAAAAAACATATTTTTAATATATAAGGCAATTATCAAATTTTAAAACAACAATCCCTAGCTTATAGCGATTAAAGCTTTTAGACAGAACTAACACCGTCACCCAGATTTGCCACTATACGCACGAAGTTGTCTCTCATGGTCTGTCACACTTTAGTAAAAAGGTAACATATAAGAACCAAAAGAGAAAAACTAAAATAGAATCTTAAAGTGTATTTTCTATTTTATTAATAGTGATTTACGCAGTTACTCTGTAAAACCGAAAAGGAATTACTTAATTCTTTCTAATAATTTGTATTTATTTGTGCTTGACACGTTATAAATTCCGCGAGTTTTTTTATCATGGTTTGGTAGAATAAAGCTTACAAAAGAAGAATGTGCTTCTCGCGCATGCCTCCTCTATAGCTGGGTTAGTGGCACTTTAAGAAATAGGAGTTTGGAGTCGTTTTAGCAGAAAATCTTAGTGTACTCTTTCCTAGTAGGCAAGTCTTGAACGCACAATTTATTTTTAATTGCTTTTTTAATCCCCCACTGCCGGCCACAGGGTGTGGTAAACATCCCCATGTAGAGCTCTAAGTGGTAACGCAGTTGTGCGACACTTTTAGACGACATGCAAACCAGCCAGTTTGAGTGCAATGCATAAGAGAGGATTATTTACAGGGATGGGACTGTCTCCCATGTACAATGCGAAAATAGGGTGATAGCAGAGAGCTTTGCGAAACCTCGGCTGTCAGGTCGATTGTTTATTATACTTGTCGTGTGAATTAATACCCCAACAATGATCTCCTGTAACTCTAATCATTATTATTTAACAGCAACACCATATTACGACAACCTTAACAATTCTGACTACGAATCTGTCAACTAGGACCTAGAGTGTGGAGGGCCTATAATTCGTTTGTTATGTTATAAGAGTCAAAACACGTCACCACAGCTGTGTACTATTTTAGAGCGCAGAAGAAATCTAAGTAAGAAATAGATGGCAGTAGTTGCTGTACGTAATAAAGTAATAGGTAAAAGAATTGGTGCAAGCTATCAGCGAAATCGTTCTCAGCGTCAACGTCTGCAGATTTTGCAACTTCTTAAGGTACCGCCGGTCCCGACTCCTACCAGCGGGCGGAGGCAATGTATTCCAGCTAAGCGAAGCATTTCAAAAAACTTCCGATATCACGGCTAGCTCTGCAGGGATTTTAGGTAGATAAGAGCCCATGTCCGTGAACGCAGCTTATAAGCTTTTAGCACACCACTTTCGCTTACCATTTTATAGCCTTCCTCATGTTTGACCTAAATCCTTATTGTGCAGATGTCAACTGCAGACAGTCAGCATGAAACAGTTGACAACCAACCCGAACTACCACATTCTCGATACCTACGACTAAGGCTTTCTGATAGCTCAACTTTACAAGACCCAACGCGAATGAAGGAGGCTGGGAATGAGAGATGTGCTAGATTTATGCCGTTTTAAAAGGTAATTCTACTCTCATTGGAATTCAGAAAACCTTTGCCGAACACCTACTGCTCTCGGTTGCATTGGACGAGGGAAGAAGAAATCAAAGTCATTATTTCTGTCCTTTATCACTAGAATCATACGTACCAAGTTGCTTAAGATGACACTCCACACGCTTCCGGAACTGGTAGAACTCTGCTTTGTTTACGTCGCTAGCTTTGACTTCAGTGATCCACAACACTGCAACGTTGAAATTAAATTTTGTGCAACACCCCATTACCTACTTATCCGCGGGTGCCGGCTCTCATTCGAGCGATTACGGTTTTGCCAAGGAGAAACTGAAGTTAAACTGGCCTTGGAAAACGAGGGCTGCTTGAGGTCATATTGTAAAGGCCGCACCTGGCAACCACAAAAAAATTAGGGCGAAGAGTCAAAGCCCTACAGGGCGAAGGGCATGTGGATATGATGGCAATAATATGGTTAGACCTAAAGCCTCAGCTGTCGGTAGCTTCATTCATTTGTGCTGGGGCCTTATAGATGCAATGGAAATGGCGCCTCTACTATCAAAGACACCTGCTTAGTGAATACCAACCCATACCTCTCGTAGGCCAGCGCCAAAGCGGTCGTTGATGGACGTAATACCTTATTAAGGTTCAGATTTAGATTACGGCAAGGATGTGCAAAGACTCAGCGGTCTCTCTTTTAGGTGTCGTAGACGACCAAAGCCTCTAATTACAACAAAACAACGGTTGCTGTTTTCCTTAAAGTAGAGAAAGCCTACAAGCGTAGGGTGAAGGTCCTCACCATAAACTGCAAGCCCTAGCCGTATTTACCGGCTGCGTATTAAGCGCGCGAGTAGGCGCTGCTTTGTCGCTACTACGGATAAATGGAAGCAGGGGTGCTTAGTTGTTTGCTCTTTATTCTCGGCTACTTTCACCGGCGTTTGCTCGCACGTGGCCCACCTTATACGCCGAAGTTAAGTTGGTTTGCTCGTAACCAAGATCGCGGTCTACTACACGGGCATTTTCAACACTACTCCGACGTGCTTACCGGCTGAGCTTTCGATGGGGCTTCATCATCGTAGTGAGATTTAACAATTCTCATTACGAAACAACAAACGGCGTACCGGCAACGATGCCGTATTGCACCAAATAACGGGTCACAAAAAAACTAACATAACGTTGACGGCTCCCATATTTGGCATGAAAGGAGACTAACAAGTTAACAGCACACACCCGTTTATCACTGCAAGATCTCTTTTGTGTTAACGAATAGGCAGAGTAGAACTTAATATACTAAAAAAAAATGAAGTAATTTACCAATATTGAGTTATCAGCAAATAAATTATTTTTTGAATTTATAAAGCGTTATAAAACCCATGAAAAACAAATTGCTATAGTTTCGCCTATTTTTTTTGTTAATAACAATTAAATATACTTTATTAAAATACTTCCGCTCTCTATTTATTATATGTGGGACGTTCTCAGAATATATTACTTATATTAGAAGAAAAGGAAAACAAGTATAAAATGTAAATTTACTATCTAGGGTATGTCCCTACTTGAAGATTACCCCGTGGAGGCTGCTGGTAAGTGTTATTGGTTGTGTTATAGGAGGTGTTATAATTTACCCCACCACTAAAAGTGGTATTCGGGGTGTTATAAGGCACAGAAAGTGGATTCCCAGAAATTCCAATAGACTTGGCTGCAAAACTAGTTGAGTTAGTATTAGTATATATATTACTAATGGTACCGTTTGCAAAGGTAGTTGGCGGTCCAGGTCGATAACTATAGTTAAAAGTGCTATTTGTAATAGAGGTGTTTAGATTACTGCCAGCGTCCTGCCCATAAGCACCAGAGGCTACATTGCTTAGAGTGCCCCCGTAGTAGTTACCACCACCATAACTACCGCCACTACCGCCCACCGAAAGATTATTAGGCGGCACATATATGGAAGAAATGTTAGGCCCACGGTTTTGAGAAGGACCAGCACCCAAAGGGCTAATAGATTGATAAGCGTTATCATAATATGGTCCGCGCGGACGAGTAGAAACGTCTTCGTTAGGTTTGCATGCAGGCGTGTTGGTACGAAAAGGGACGTATACGTTACTAGAAACCCGTGGATAACCAGCTGCAGGAGGAGCGCAGAATCCTTTAGGGGGTACATACGAAGATGCACGAGGTCGAGCGGAAAGGTTGGTTTGAGTAATAGGCTTGGTAAAAGAAGTCGAATAAGCCCCACCATGAGAATATTGAGCACCTCCAGGCTTCGCAGTATGGGCGGAAAAATTTTCAGTAGTCGCTTTCTTATGTTGATTTGACGTCGTTCTGTACGAAATTGCATCACCGCCATAAATAATACTGTCTTCGCTGGCATTACTCATCTGGTTTATGTTACTAGAGAAGCTCCCAGCATCAGTTCCCGTAGGGACATATAAGCGATTATTACTGGCTTTATTAGTACTTCTTTCCGAGGTTGGAGGAGGCTGAGGGTACTGGAACCGAGGGCTAGGAACAGAAAATTCTGGTCGAACTCTGGACGTACTCCCTTTAAACACCCCAATTCGGCGCTTTTTGGGGTCATAACCTTCAGAAGCGCGTCTTCTCTTCTTTATACCGCCAAAAGGAGCAGCGGAGGTGGGATGAGGAGGTCGTAGCTTGAACTCCATCTTCGAACGTGGTGCATAAGGGGGTCCATAGTCCCCACGGGGAACAAATTTCGACGAGAATTGCGGCGGAAGCGGGGCACGCGTCCGGACGGGAGAGCGATGCCGCCTCGGTGCGGGTGCTTCTCTACGCGGGGGAGCAAAGACGGAAAAGCGACCACTGTTACGTCGGCTTCTGGCCCTTAATGACGGTTCGCCCCTCCGAAGACGTTCTCGAACTCGATCTCGCGGGCGAAAAACTGCGCGTTCCCGCTCCCTTTCTCTATTTCTAAAACGTTCTCTATCTCTTTCCCTTATTCTGTTCTTAATTCTATCTCTACTGTGCCGAAAATCATTAAAATGGGGACTCTGTCCGCGTCTGCCAAGTGGACGAATGGGCTTGTCTAATTTAAACTCGGTAGGATGTATAATCTTTTTGTTAATTTGATAAACACCGCTTCGGGCAACCTCCCAGTCACCTGCAAGCGTAATGATCAACTATTATGACTAAAAAAAAGGTATACGTACCGGAGGGGCAATAAGCGCCGATAAAAGGAAATGAGACCTCCACCAGACGACTGGAAGAGTCGCATTGCTAACGGTTAATAAGAAAAAATGTAATAAATGTTCTTAGAAGTTGCGTATATTGGCATGCACACGCACATGGCCGAAATGCCCAAAGCGAGAGCAGATGTAACACCAGGGGTTGCTGTTGATCTCCATGCCCTCGACAAGTGCGCCAGACTGGATGGTGCTATGGAACTGCCTCCAGATATCAGGGCATAACTATCAGAATAGTCGGAGCGAGGACAAGAATGCCAAGCCGACAATAAACCTTAGCCACGTGCCCATAAGTCGAGCATCGGTCGCACCGAAGATCTCTTCGAAATAAATGCTTATTGGGACAGTTCTATTGGAAGACCATTACCACCTAAATGATGAACACCGAAAGAGCGAAATACCATATTTCCATGACCGGGGGTAAAGCACAGACTGCACGTTTCTTCTATGCATTTACCGTGCCGGTGACCAGAAAATCCGCAACGGACACAAATTGCTTTCTTGTAGTGTACAATAGAAGTATAACAAATAGGAAACAAGGAATACAGACTACCTCAGGGTTGGGGCAATTGATTCCAAGATGGCCCTTTTCTAGACATATAAAACACGTCTTACCTTCATCTTGGACGTAATAACGTTTATTCTTGTTATAAAAAGTAAGTATATAGTAGTAAAAAAATTAAAGCTTTCAAGTTACATGAACTAGATTGTCCTCTTCGGTAATAATCCAATCCGGATCCTCATCGGGAATAACATCAATAAAGCCGGATAGTGAGTCAGCTTCAGTACTATAAAATAATAGTTACATGTTTGATTTCCAAATATGTAGTATTTAAAGACGTTTTCTCCTCTAAAACAGAGTTGTCAGTGTTAAGGTTTTCTGCAATGGCAAGAGAATTATCATCTTTTAATTCTGCCGATATAAATATTAAAAAACAATAATAAAAAAAAATAAGTGTGTCGAATAGAGAAGCAACATATTTCAACCACCACCAAATAATAAATAGAAGAGCAGCATATAAAGAGTGAAAAATAAATATATAATAATAGAGCTGTAGCAAATTTAAAAAGTATTAGAGGAGTTAGAGTTTACTCACACTTGTTAAAACTAAAATTTTTTTGAAAATTTATTTAAGTTAAACGAATAATAGCTTAACAATTGATAAGCCTTACCTTCTTCATTCAAATCCTTCTCATATTCAAAATTTTCTTCTTTACTCTGAAAAGAAATTAAACTTGTTTTTTCAACTTCCTAGTAGAGCTTTTGTAACTAAAAAAAAGCAAAGGATTCATTATTAATATAACCTCTTTGTCTATGAGTTTGGGAGAACTAACAATATGAGAATTTTCATAGTCAATACCAGTAAGGCTGCTATGGACAGAGACTAAGTAAGAGCAAACTTTTTAACGAAAAGAAAAAAAAACCTATTTTGCCCAATTCCTTCTTCCATTAAAATTTAAGACTAAGACCACTTTAACAATTTTATACTACAATAAAATTATATTAAAAATAAAAAAAAATTAATATTATTAAACAATAAATAACAATAAAATAATAAAAAGGGCACAAAAATATATCACTTTATGAATATATAAGATAGAACAAATATTGACCACAAATCAATAAGGTAAATAGAAAGGTAAGTTTCATTAGTAATAAAAAAACTCTAAAAAAGAAGAAGACTTTTTTAATAATATAATTAACAATTAGATAAGGACAAAAATTAGTGCGCAACCGTTATTACGCAAAATATTTTCTAAGTAACACCAATGAACAAAAACAATGTATGTCTCTGTGCTCCGCTGCTCGTGGTCGCTGTTGCCCTCAAAACGACTAGCGCAGGGGCAACTAAATTTAGATGTGAAGCACGTGGGCACATTAAAAAAATCAAAACCAGACCCTTCCGTTTCCCACTGTAAAAGATCTAATATTTACTTCTAATAATTCCTCAGAATACACAGCTTAATTCAGTTACAGAGACCAATAAAACCATCATTTTATAAAGTTAAACAATTAGCACTTCTTTTATTGGCACTCAACTTGTTTGTTGAGACTGAGTGAGAATTTGATACCTTATCAAATGACTCTAGCCCCCTAAGACGGTCGTCCAATAAAGGCGAAATAAGAATGGTTACGACTATATGTACGTCAACTACACTGGTCTTTTAAAGAAATTACCTTTTGCCTTTATTCTCTTGCTTTTCCTAGTTTATAGTAAAGCAAATTTTTTAGATTATTATTTGAAAATACAGATAGCGAGACTCCTTTTAACAAACTGTAGAATTACGTATAACGCTTTTTTTGTATTTTAATATAGAGGTTCGTAGATTTCTTATCACCAAATTTAGTAGTATATCTAAATTTAACTTTTTTTTGTATTTAAGAATAAAATGTTATTACCAAGCAAAGAATACTTCGTTCCATGAAAATAAAAAGCTAAACTTATTAAAATTAGCTTTTAAAAATTCAGAAAAAATAATAGTAAAAAGAAAGCAAACTTAAGATCAAAAAATACAAGATGAGTAAAAATATGAAAAAAACAATTATAATTAATAATATAAAATATTAAACTAATACAGAAGAACTGGGAATGAAAGCGGAACATTAGTGAACAAAAGTAGGGAAAAGCTTTATTATAAGAAAAAGTAACAAAACCTATAGGGAGGCTTGCTACAAACCCATCCTGGCGATATAAAAAAAAATTCTCGTAACTGCCGAAAAGTTGAGTCTTTACTAAGTAGAACCTTTTTTTTGAAAAAAGGGTAACCAATATGACTATACTCTCTTCTTTGCTTATCATTTCAAAGGGTATTAATATAAATTTTAATTGACTATCATCCTATTTAATATAAAGTATAAGAAAAAAAGGTAAGACTAAATTAATTTTGTAACTTTATAAATAGTCAATAGAAGACGTAATTCTAAGCGTTGACATAGTCTCCTCACACCAAAAATCTATAAATACGAAAGTTAGTTAGAGCCTTAATCTCTATGACATCCGCTAGGAGAACCAAGTAAAGAAGTTGTTTGTTTCAAAGGAAGATACAGAGGAAAGGGCAAGCTTCCTGTTTGTGTTCAGGTGCGAGGGTATAAAAAGGTAAGGTTACTTGTGGATGGAAGAAAAGGTTTGTAAACACGGAAGGAGGGTATGGTAATAAATATATATATTTTAAATTAAAAAAAAAGTATAAAAATGACAAAAAAGAAAAACATATAGAAACGACGAGAAAGAACACTTAGCCCTAAAGAGATCAAGCACGACCTTGGTTGCCTATCTCAGCAAAATTTTATCCGCGTAACGTCGACATGAGTATATTCTGTTCTTTAAAAGGTTACGGCGTTTAAGATGCAGAATTCATCTGTTCCCAATGGCGTGTCTATCCCCTCTCTCAATAAATTCTTGATATATATTTCTTTTCGCGAACCTTTTTAGAGTTCTATGTTTAGTTGTGCTTTCCACTATGAGAATAATAATTTTAAATAAATCGCTAATTGACTTAGAAATATGAATACTTATAATATTAGTTAAAAGGCTAATTTGCGAGGTTGTAACTTTGCTCGAGTTATTGAAATTAAGTGATACTGTATACTACTGTTTATGTATGGGTTTTGGCCTGGTTTAATTGTAGCCTTCGTAATGGAATTTTTGCAGTTGGCAATTTAAAATGGTTTCAATTCTCCTCTGTCTTTTAGCCTACTTATGTTCCATGTGGTTCGTGAAAGTTTACTTCTTTTGTAGAGCGCCTTTACCTTTTAGAAGGGTTTCCAATTATGAAGTAGCTTTTTTATCGTTATTCGCTACTTACAATCTTGTTGGCGTCAACTCTGATAAAACGGGGTAACATTAGGCAGGTACTATGATCTCATGCGCTGCTCGGCTTCATGTACCAGTGTTACTGCACGTACTCCGCACCATATACCTACCATAAGCTTTTTATCTGTCCCACTTTTTTGATTTTCTTTTCCACTCTCCTTAAGGTAAAAATACCCTTATTCCAGAGACAATAATGTAAGGCTTCTCCTCATTTTTGTAGAGTTTCAACTTTAAGTACTTAATTATAGCTAATTTATGAGCTAATGTATTACAAAGCACATTAGTTATTAAATGAAAAGTAAAGGTTATGTTAAAGACAGTATAAAAATCCTATTACTGTAAAAATAGTAATTTTAGCAAAATATAAAGAGTCACTGTTAAAAAGATCACAGTGTTTTTTAATAAAAAAAAGTTTATAATACATTAGCGTCTCTTTACTGGTCTTACGCTAGCAGGAAACTTTTATTTACATTTTTAAATTAACTTAGTATCCCTTATAATCATATATTACAATAAGCCTAATTTTCCTCATTAGGTCAGATATTTAACTGACCGGCCCAATAAATCATTGAAAATATTTTCCGATGAAATATTTTTCTTGTCACTTTAAAACAAAACTAACAAATGGCACTTAGACTATTCTTTTATTATAGTGTTAGAAGAACTCGATTTATTCTGGTTTACCAAATTTTGTTTTTATTATTGCCTCATTCGCTTTTAGTTGTTCCAGCACTTTTAATATGTGTAAGATCCCAAGTATTGTATTAGGGTTGAACTCTAGTATTTAAATCTTTAAGATTTTTGAAATCAACTGTATATAAATATATATATATGAAGTATAGCTGTACGGACGTGACCAAGATGAAAGCGCAAAAAATAGTTAATACGATTGCTGGTTATTTTTAGTAGTTATTACTTATATGCTAATAATTAAGCAATAAAACCATATTTAAATAAACATAAGAATGCCTTAAAAATGGCAACTTGTCTTAGGGATTATGGAATGGGATCTTTTCCTCAACGAATTTATCTTGTTTAAAAGGTACATACCTATAAATTAAGCATTTGGCAAAGTTGCTTAATTCCTTTTATTCCCAAAAGGTTTTATGTTTGCAGAAGCCTCTATTCGTCCTTTTCACAAATATTTAAATGAGAAATTGTATTTTTTTTTCCAGTCTTAATTTTACGTTTGCCAAGTCACACCAACGCATATCCCGGTGTCCATGATTTGACGTCAACAAAACCGAATTATAAAACTGGTTGCGGAACTCCGCGGTCGTTGGACATTGCAAAATTATACTATTTCTTATTTATATAACCAGCTCTCGTAGGTGAGACCATTCAGCATTATCTAAATTATAGAGGAATTACTTGATTCCGGCTTTTATAATAATTGGCCTTTCATTAGTAATCGGCTACTGTTTACTAACACATTGATTGGTCAAACCAAAAAATATTTGCGCATTCATAAGGTCCTCATTTTAGCGTTTTTTTTTAGTAAAGGTTTAGCAACCACTTACAGTTAGTGGACGAATGCTAAAGTATTAATACCCTACTGCACTACCATTAAACCATTCTGACCACAAGGACTTCGTCATACCCATCTTCTGTTCTGGAACGCAGACGGCGTCTACGTAAGCAATAATAGATGCAGCAGGAATTGATGCAAGGCGAAAGAAATTAATCTGCGTGTTATTAGTGAAATTCATCGTTCCATTAAATCTCTGCAACTTTTTTCGACGTACCACCAGGATCGCCTTGACGGGGGAGGTGGTGGAGGCGGAGCTATTTTGGTCACAAAAAACATTCTACAAAGTGTAATATATTCCAGCCCTGCAAAGCATGAAGGCGGTTGGAAGTTCCCTCCACTTAACCAGCCAGGGGCCCCAGCCGGTAAGTGCAGCTTACAAGTCTCCCCAGCATGCCACTTATTACCTCAGATCTTGATGCCCTTTTTTATAACTAGTTCCCCAGTTATTGTATGTGGGGGCCTTAACTACAAGCATCCCGCCTGGAACAGCCTCGTGAATAACCCACACGGCCGAATCCTTGAAGCTTACACCGACGAGCGAGGCCTGCGCGTCACAGGACCACAGTACTCAACGCACATGGCAAAGACAGAATATCAAGACATATTAGATATGGCCGTTTCGAAAAATATTTATATTTCAACGGCAATTGAAGCTCTTTAAGAATATTCGTCAGACCATCTGCTAGTTCTGCTTGATTTGTGCGACGAAAAGGAGTTACTGAGGACATATACCAGAACTTTTATGGACTGGAGTTAATTCTGAGGCTTTTGATATAACCTTTCAACATTTTTCCTCCTTTCTTAATACGCTTGCCTCACCTGACATTGCTGTTGCTGAAGTCGAGGGCGTTTGGAGCATGGCTTATCACACCGCCACGACAACACGTGAAGTTGAGTTCCGCCCTAATCGCTTGCCTGATGGATTAAAGGTCCTTACCCGCGAGCGGCGACGCCATATTTGAGTGACCACGGTAATATCCCTATCCCCCGAAGATAAATCAGCGCTTAATAAACTACACCGCCCCATTAGGAAAGAGCTGTTGGCGCACCATAACCGACTGAGAGAGATAAAGTTAAGTAAAATATCGGATAAATAACGGTAACGGTCGCGTCTCTTCCTGGAAGTTCATAAGGAAAAA